CTTATCCTTTGGGCGTTCAAAGGATAAGATATCCTTTAAATTTTTAAGATATCAAATCAAGTACCTCCTTTAACTTGCAAAGATATCAAGTCAATCGGTGTTCAAAGGGCAAGAGAAATTGAAGATATCAGAAAGATTCATCGATATCGTCAACATTATTATTTAAGGAACAATAATATTCCTTTTGAACGATGAACTTCTTTGATATTATATAACATTCCTTTCGCGCACACCTTATCACAGTTTCTCTTATACTTGTCCAATCTTATAACTTCTCCAATGCCTTGCATTCTTCAAAAACATCATCTTTTGTGCCACATCGACTGAGTGAGGAAATCTCAAACGTTCACATCCTTCTACCGCGGGGCCGGACCCTATAATTTGAAATTGTCTTTGGGCACCGACTTCAACTTCCATTTCCTTCATGTCATTTCTCTTTTCGTTTCCTCGCATCTTCCCTCACACTCAAGACCAACCATCTTCCCCGTCACCAATGTCTTCTCGCAGTCAACGATCTAAGACCTACCAACGGGCCACCAAATCGCAAACCAGTCCTCAACAACAGCACTCGAATCACAACACTCCCAGCGTTTCAGGCTCTCGTGCATCCACACGTTCTCAAAAAAGGAAACTCACACAAAACCAACCATCCTCGCCTTCGCCCGGTTCGACTCGTCCTCAACAATATAAGCCGTACCAACGTCCAATTGCTTCACAGCCAAGTCTTCCAGCTCATCACTCGACTCATCGCAACACTCCAAGGTCCTCGGTTTCAAGATCTACTCGATATCAAAACAGACATCAACAGCGTGAAACAACGGAAGACCTCGAAACTCACGATTCCCAAAGGTCCAATCCTGTCGAAGAAAATCAGAAAAACTTAGAAGGACATGATGGATCTCCTCAAAAGGCCGCTGAGGATTCACAGAGGGAAGACTCCGAAGAACCTTTCAATCAGAATGATTTAAAATTATTCAACGCTGGCTCTGATGATAACAACGGAACCGACCACAGTGCTTATAAACCCGAAGAAAGCAGTGATCGTGATAGCAGTGAACAGGATGAACATGAAGACAATCATCGTAAGTTATCCATCGATTTTGAATTAGATCGAAATTGATCATATTGATTTCTGTGATCTTAGCCTCCGAAGGTGTCACAGTCCGGAACACGTCTCGAACTATGTTGAACAACCATAGCAGACAGACTGCTTTCTCTTCCCATATGACCGGACCTCAATCCCAATCCTTCGAAAGAATTGCTACTTGGGCGGATCTCGATCAAGATGCTCGCACAGTTGGACGAAAGCTATGTAACGTGAGTTAGACAAACCAATGAAACCTTAATAACCGTTACTGATTTTCGTATCTGACAGGTTACTGGTAGTGAGGAGCAATTCCATGCCTGCATGGTGGCCACTCTATCGATGCGCCAAGAAATGATAGTGTTATCAAATCAGCTGGAAGAAATCAAGAGGCAAATAAGCAAAATACCTTGTGGAGGAGGCTGTGCTTGGAAAGAACAAGAGCACACTGAACTCAAAGTAAGTCGTCTGCTAAGTCCCATTTGGAAAATAATATTTCCAATTTGCATTTGAACCAATCTGACATTTGCTGAATGCATTGTCATCATCTCTATAGGCAGTTGTTCGATCTACAGCGCTCAAGAAAATCATGGACGGTGATCTTCAGGCATACACCGCTAAGGAGAACAAATTCATCAATGAGGACCCGCTTCCCTTCTGTTTGTATGGAAAAGTTATGGTAAATGCGCTTCCCATGTCTTCAAGTGTTTCTTCAAGAACTAATAATTTGTTTAACAAAATAGACTGACATCTTAGGTAAACCAACCGAATGGAAGAAGGAACATCTTCCACCACGATATGGTGTTGACCCAGACAACAAATCCAGCCGTGCATTTCATTCCTTGGTAAATACTGTATTGAAGGAGGTCAGAAAAGATTTTGAAACTGTGGTAAGCCATTCCGTTATGCCTGCTTGACTTGTCCACCTATCTGACCAACCATCATAAGCTCCTTCAAAACATCTATCTTCCGGATCGAAAAACACCACGTTTCGATGCCCCGGTACCAATTCTGGACACTATAATTGTCAAAGTAAGTAACTTTTGATCGTGGCATGTGGTTACATGCTGAACCTGTGTATTCCCCGTATGCACAGCTGTACCAAAAGGAACACGGTGTCAGTGGGCAAGTTCTAGTCACCAAAGAGGTACTCGACCAGGTAGGCTACCTTCGATCATCACAATATGCATGGCTGGTCAGTTCACCATGTTGTTTATCTATGTGCAACTCATACCTTATAACTTACCCCTGTCTATGTCCGCCTATCAGAGGATGCAAGCAATCCACTGGGGGTTAAACCGTAATACAAAGAATTTTAAGTATGGCTCCCGATCGTTGTGGGATGTCATCGATGAACAATTGGAACACTTACGCACTAAATCCACACGATACCGTCACGCGTAAGTGATACTATCTCCTTGAAATACTACCACCTTCCAAATACTTACTGGGGGAATTTCACAGGTTTTTTACGTTATGTGACCAAAATGACATCAATCGAATCGATGGTACCAAGAATTTTGCCCAATTGAAGGAATCTACTGACTTCTCTATGCCAACTGAGACACAAATTCAAGAAGAAATCGAGTATTTGAATCAAACTTTTGGTACGGAACAGTCAGCAGACGAGGTGTTGCATGTACACGAAGTCTAGGTTTGATGCATGGTTCTATGACATACAGACTACTTCGGTCTATGTTTTCATTTCTTCTTTGATTTCTTATTTTAACTCTTATTTTAACTCTTCTTTGATCTCTCTTAACTCTTATTTTATCTCTTATTTTATCTCTTATCAATGGCTCATTTGTACATAAGTCTTTTCCCTCGTCTTTTTTTTTGTATATCATTGTCAACTCTTATTTTGATTTCTCATTAATCTCAATGTGGATTTTTATGTATTTGAGTCGACTCAATTATAGCAATTAACACGAAGTCATCTGCAATATTATATTCTGTTTGTGTTTCATTAAACAATTACAAAGTGACAAAATTTATTGAGTCAATAAATCGAGGCATTCATGTCCTTGCGACCAATGATGGTTGATGGCCTCAACCAGTTTCGAGCAAGTGACAACTGGTTGAATCACCAGTCTTGCAAAACACGGGTTACAACACCGTAAAACGGCCACGTGTGGCCAACGATGGTCACCACCAAAGAAAAACCTGGTCCTCAACCGTGACTCGACCCCGGCTGAGGACCCGTTAGAGGGGGTTCGTGGTGTAATAATTTAATAATTTCTTAAAGAAAAATGATAGATAAAATAAAATAATAATCATAATCATGTAAAAAACCAGAAATAAAAACTGCTAAAAAAGCTAAAAGGAATACCAATGATAATTATACCAACTAAAGTAAAAACACAAAACCAAACACAATGGGTGGCGCAGGTGGGAAGATAAAAATCACAAATAGCAAAGACTTGACTGGAAACGTTTGTGAGAGTGATAGTGAGAATAGGATGGATTTGAAAGATAAGAAAGATGGACAGAGGGGTGGTAAATAGGCTATGACATCAATCATAAATCATCTTGAAGATACAAGAATCCAACCCGTTGGAATAAACGTGTAATTTAAACGCACTGTTATTCAAAACATCTCAATTGGTGAGCATTGGATTAGATAGAGAAGCAAGTGACACCTAGGGGTTTGTCTCTCATACCCTAATGAGCTTTTGCGCTGATCCCAAAGTCAAAACCTCCTCTGAATAGTAACAAAGCATGAAAATTATGCCTGGTCCTTATTGTGAGAACACTTATTAGGAGAAGTATCTTTTTGATTTCCTTTGAGAGTGAAAACTAAAAGTGGGAAGAACCGAAGTTCGAAATCATCCACAATATATACATGATTATCCAGAGTGTAAAGACTGGTAAAGAGCATCCTCAATGTAAGCGGTAATGAGGGATTTAATAATTTGGAGATGGTGAAGAGCACAGCAGTGCAAATCACACGCGACGCGATGGCTTACACATCGTTCGTCGTGGCTACCTTGGCACCTGTAACCTATGCCGTATCCTATTCTCGTATCTAGAAGCTTACTCCTAATGCCCGTAGTAAGTTTGACTCTAATTTGGCTATCAGGAATCAGGATACCAGATGATATGTATCAGACTTGAAGAATTAACTTTGGTTTCGGAAGATCGTGTTCTGAAACAAATCAAACTCTCTTCGTGTTATGTACCTCAAGAGCGTCCAGTATCCTTGGGACTCTGAGTCCAAAATAACCGGGTGACATGTCGATAAATGTGCAGCTGAAACCTTTCTCCATCAATGGTCGATCACCCGGATGGCTCGTGGTTAGATATTTAAATTCGCCGCTATTTTCACTCAAGCTTGATGATATCCTGCACGGAATATTAACCCCACTCTCAGCTTACACGATGTCTGAAGTAGCTTTGAGCAGTAGATGAAGAAGGAAACCAGCCAATGGACTCACTTGAGGTGCTTCTCATAACTTCTTCTGGGACATGCGATTTGTGCTCTCAGGGTTTTACCGCACACTCACCATCGAGTTTAGGCCGCCTGTGCGCGTGTCTCGGCTGAGGCACTCTCTGTTAGAGTGACACTATCCCGGCGACTAAAGGAAAGTGTGATGATAATCCAGGCTTACGACCCTTGTAACATATCATGACTCATGTCAACTTGCTTGAAACTGATCCTAACATCGTTTTCGATCTAAAGATGAGATTGCATATGGTCATTGAACAGGCTTCGGTGAGGACATCGATGGTTATGAAGTCCGCAGGCTATAAGAACGCAGGCCTTTTTGCGATATTCCTCAATACATAAAAACTCATCTGGCTAGACATCTAAAGTGACTTTTCTAGAGCTGTAATCAACAAAATCCATACTTTCCTTCCTTCCTTCCTTAATCAATCAATATTCTATAAATAATTTTTTATACACTCATTCTACATCATGCGTTTACAACTTGCACTCATTGCTCTAGCTTTTAGATATTCTTTTACATCAGTTCTCTCCTTTCCCACTAATGGTATTGAGTCATCTCCTCAATCTCATCTTAGCCGCTCTATTCATAGGCGAGCGGTAGACGCTGTTGATCAGCTTGATCAGCTTGCTCAGATAAAAAAGGAAACAAGCTTAGAATCCTTCGATTCAATCTTTAGTGCTGATGGGGTCGTTTCCTACAAAGGCTCAGTCAAAAGACGCCCTCGTGTATTCACTTACATCAATGGAGGACATGTTCCTGTAGAATCCCCGGCCGCAGACAAAATTAACGCAGAAACTATAGAACGTCAGCTTCGAGATGATACATCTGATCCACAAAAATCCTCCTCTGAGGTCTCATCCTCCGACAACCACATCGACAGCAAGACGGGTTTACAAATCTATTCAAAAGAATGGTCGAGCAAAGACCTTTTACCTGATGTAATGATCCGATTTGGAGAAGCCTTAGGAATCGACAACAAAGAAGTAAAGCCTTTGACAGGACAATCATTTGATGTTTTAAAAGCCTTACCCTCTGAGTTGGGCTGGGATGAAAAGCAAGCGAAGTTGGAAACGGCTCAGGTGCTCGAGTGGTACCGAACCAACAAAGTGGCTTCATTAGCTCCTGATCAGCAACAAGTCCTGGATTTCAACCTTGCAATCGCAAACTTAGATCATCGACCTTGGTGGACCGAAGATAACATGAAAGCTTGGCAAACTACAAACATGCCTTGGGAAACCATCACTCGAGTCGGTAGCATCTTGGAGCGTAAAGTCAAGGATTCTATGTCACCAGAAGAACTCAATAATGTTAGAAGTGAAATCTTAACTGTCCTCGATCACTTTGCCGCTCACAATGATATTGAAGAAAACATTGAAGGTAACAAAATCCAATCTCGCGGAGCGATAGCTGAAGCACTACATGAAGTTACCGGAGCGAATAAAGCATCTAAATTAAAAACTGATTATCCTGACTTTGATGAGAAACTCAAATTGATTGGACCTCAACATGGTGAGATTGCAAAAATCAAGATCTTTTTGAACAATCAGAATGGTGAACAGCTTGATTTAAATAAAGAGTTTCGAGTTTTAGTTCATATGCAATTACTTCTCAATGGAATTCCTTATGATATCGCAGAGAAATATGCAAGAGCTTATAAGACCGTTAGTTCTCATGTTTTCAACAAGCCAGCCGGTCTACTCTCTGGGATTATCGATTTCCGTCAAGGTGCTGTAGATATCAAAGCCCTGAAAGACATTTTACCAGTAGGTAGTGGAGGAGATGTAGCTCGTATTACTACGTATGCCGCTTTGAAGAGATTTTTCCAAGATATTTATGGCAATCTAGATGTGAACTATGTAAATGAAAGAGCTTCGGTGTTGTTACGTCAGAGGACGAAAGTGACCGGATGGGTTCCTAATATTTGGAGTTAAACTCAAAGCTGGTCTTCTGCAAGCCGAACGACCTCAAGGAACTATCTGTAAGTATGAAGTTTTTTTGCAACCAATGTTATTGAATGTGTAGTAGAACAAAACGTTTACCATCTTTTCTTTGTCGCACTTCTACAACAGTGATTCAAACTCCAACAAAAATCGAAATTCCTTATTCACTCAAAAGCGACCATTGCTATCCTAAAAAATGTATTTCTTCATCATAATCACTACTTGGGAAAGAATGTTATTCAAGTTAATTCCTAGTTGTTTTCCGTTTCTTTGTCGCATCATGACACCAACATTATCTTTGTTAGACATCCCGAACTAAATATACACAAGTTTAAATTTATTATAAGACCAGCTGAAACCTTCCCAGATATATTGCCACATATACTAACGTGATGTTAACCATGGGTTGTCTAATCTTGCCAGAATCTCATCAATAAGCATGTTTGAAATACAAACTTGAACTCTACTTCTTACTCTCATCATCGCTGAGAGCCAGCATGAGCCACGTCCTCCCATCAGTCAGTCGTCAATTTCTCAATTTCTCAATTTCTCAACATCAGTCATGTCGCGCTATACCTTGTTGTTACATTGGGTTCCCTAGGGCCTTGCAGTTCAAATATCCTCATTTTTTGAAGAAAAAAGCTTCGTTACTGGTGTAGACCTGATAGAACAAACATAATAGAATTGAAAGAATCCATTGAATCAAGTACATTGCAATCTACCACAAATCTCGTATGATCTAGATGAGATTATTCTCAACGCAAAGGCTGATCAATTGCTCTGATAGAATTGAATTCATCATACTAAGAAAGCGTTCACTCATAATCCCTCAATCCACACATACTTCAATAAATGCAAATGATCGAAAAAGTCATATTAAAAGAAAAAAAGAAAGGTTAGAAGATAACAAAGAATCTGGTAGAGTCTGAGATAAAAAAAAGTCAAGTAAACAATATACAAAAAAACAAAAGATGAAAAACAAAAAACAAAGAATGCTATGACTTATTTAAATGGATGAGAAAAAAAATAAAACGAAAACAAATGATTGTCTAATGAAATCAATGATAAAGTGTGATCCAACCAAAACGTAACAGAATAAATTAACAAATGCTTCTCTATCACGATGATCATCAAAAATAAATAATTCAATTATAAACACAACAACAAGGTTTCATAAACATCTAGGTAAAGCAAAACGAAGAGGTCTTATAGGTTTAGTTTGTTCTAAATTTAAAGCATAAATCAAAGAATCTCTTGATCTTTTCTTCCGATCGGTAAGAGAATAGATCTCAGACAAAAGAAACCAAGCTTCCGGTACATCCCAACCATTCGAGATCGTCAAAGTTTCCAATAATCCTTCTGAAACTTCTAGCGATCCTTCTTCTTTTAAAATTCTAGAAATATGAACTATTGCACTAATATGATCATCTGTAAATGATAAAGCTTTACTTAATGATTCAATCGCACTGTTTAAATCACTTATTGATAATTTATAAAGTGCATATTGTACCCATACATCTGCTTCATCACTATCTAAACTTTCGGCTTCTTGGATCGCTCCGAGACATTCATCCATCTTACCCCATCTTCTAAACGTAGCTGCTGACATCAACCAGAGTGACTGCAATAATTTATCTGCTTTTGAAACTTTTCCTTCAATTAGCTCGTTCCCGGATTGATCTTGATTTTCATTCAAGGCTACATTTCCAGACTCGGATTTCAATAGGGATGTTTTAGAGGCCATGACGCTACGTTTCTCGCTTACTGAATTTGACCCGTGTCGAGGATGTCGGAGTGATAAGGATATAGCCCGGCTTACTGGCTTATTAGCTTTGATCCCAAGATTATACCGTATAGCAAAGAAGCGTCAGTCAGATACCCCAACATCAAAAGAAAGAATCCCTCTGTGTCTTACGTGAGCCAGCCGGAGTAGTACTGGTATCAGTACTTCCCTTTTTTCCAATCAATTTTCTTCTGATGATAGTTGATCTCGAACGTGATCCAAGATGATCACCCACATTCGCTGCTTCAGACCGATCAGCGGCAGTTATCACAGAAGCATTTGAGGCCATTCCTGATTTTGAGGCAATGCCATAAGGCGACATTTGTTGGGAAGAGCCTGAAAAAGCGAAGCAAACTCAAATGTAGATCTTCTTTAGTATACATCTAGTCAGTAGTTAGAAAACGTGAAGTCTTACCTCTTCTAAGTTGAGGAGCGATCTGAGCAAAGTATGAGAATAAAGCTTGTTGATCAGTCAAAGCAACCTCAGGACCATCCATAGACTCTAGTATCACATTCTTCGTAATCCTTAACTGCATCATGGCTTCTAACTCTTCAAGACGATCATCATTCAATGCGTTTGGATGTTGTTCTAGAGCTGGACTACCTGTACTAATCGGACTTGTCCGACTGCTTGATTTCGTATGACTTGGTACATTCAAGAACGTATCTCGACGCGGTGTACTTAGTGCATCAGAATTCGATTCAGATACTCCATGGGCAGGACTGCCATTAGTACTTGAATAAGCATTACCCTCAGGTGATGGAATTCCATTACTGGTTCCTCCAATATCAGATGGAGATTCTGTATTGATCGGAGGCGTGAGCGTTCCAAGAATCGGTGTGCCACTCACATCACTCCTCTTCGGAGTTCTCGTGCCACTTCCGTTTTCCGATCCATCATCACCTTCATCATTCAACCCAATATCAATGATATCTAAAGCCAATCGAGGTTCTTTAGATGCACTAGTAAGTAAACCAAGTAAATGCCAACCAATCTTCTTGTTCGAGTTGATATCCACTGCCTTTCTTGCTGATACGAGTGCTGATTCAATGTCTCTCAATTCAGCTTGAGCAAAGGCAAGATGATAAAGATTCTCATATGAGTTGGGGTCCAATTCAGCTGCCCGAATCAAGTGTTTCAAATAAGTTGCGTGCAACTCCGGTCGCGTCTCGCTGTCCGCTAAGATAGGTTGAAGTTGATCAGATATAGCTCTAGTTGTGACATAATGATAGAAAAATGATGAGCGGAAAATAATGAATACTCACCAATTTGAGCTTGCGCTCCGGCAGCGAGGCCTAAAAATCGCTCCACCTGGGCCTCCAGTGATACATCAATAGCACGTGATTTTGCCTTATTGGCTTCAATCAATTCTGATGCGCGTGTGATCAGTTTAAAAGCCTTTTCGGGATCAGACAAAAACTTAATCCAAAGTCTGCAACCAAAGACAAGAGTTTCAATGAAATCTTCATCCGAGTCATGATCAGATGCTTCCATCGAGTTGCCATTTTGATCATTCGGTTCGATTGCGTCGGTTGGTGATCCTACTCCAGGATCCAGATGAGTCGGATCAGGAGAACCTTTGGGTGATTCGATCTCTTTAGCCTTGGTGAAGAGTTGTACATAGAGATCTAGAGCTTGACTGGCTTCTTCAAAAGCATGTTGAGCGCTCAAGAGCCGTACGAGATATCTCAAGATCTTATGTGAATGAAATGTTTGACGAGTAGCACGATAGAGCATCTCAATGATATGTTTCGCTTCTTCGCTTTCACAACCGTCCACCCTCCAAGCTTCAAAGAGCAAATCACAAAACTCCAGGACAGGTTGATTGATAGCCCCGGACTTGGGAAAACTGCCACTCAGTTTGAGTACATGTTCATAAGCGCGTTGAACCCCAAATACCTCGGTTCGCCAAGCTTGCCAGTAAGTTTTGTTTTGTATGGATCCTATCTCACTCGATAAAGTCATATTCGAAGACGCAAAGTTTGAGACTGAAGCCATGATCGCAGGTGTCCACTTTCCCGATTTCCGTGAATCAATAAGTATCCTCAGGTACGACTTATAGAACACACATCTCTTTCCATATCGGAACGAATTAGGCCAATAGCGAGAATAAGAATGATAGAGTCGATGAGCCTCTAAAGTAATTTGATCATCCCTGAAATCAATCCCAACCGCGAGAATTAGATATTTTGTTTGAAAAAAAGTTTAAGACGAAAAAAACTCACGAAGCCTTTCGACTGATGAGAGCATATCTATAGAGTCCTACTTCAGCCCACGAATGCATCTCTTCATTACCTTCGTTCCCAGCTGTGATAGCCAGATGGCTAAGACATCTTCCATAAGTCGAAGCAGCTTTTTTGTACGAATCCAAAGTGGTAGCAAAGGCTGCTTCACTTGATTCATAAGAGAGTGCTAGATCGGGGCCAGAGATCGGATAAATAGATCAGTTTCCAGCGAAGGTCTTTTACGTAAAGTGAGGATATGAGATTCACCAAGAACAGTATGAGCCAGTACTTGTAATACTATATCGTACTTCTCAGTATGAATGGTCAGATCAGGTTTTGGCAGATCATAATTACATTCTTCAAGTATAGTGATCGACTGTGTAAAATCACCGATTGTGTATTGAGAAAATCCCACAATGATCTTTGCAGACTGAAGTTTTTAAATGATCGATCACATTTATAAGATTTTTGTCTAGAAGCTTGAGAATTATGAAACAAGCCTCACATTAATATCGGATAATGTTCTGGAGGGCGCTTGAGTCGAATTAGAAGTATGACTCTCAATGGAGGTCTTCAATTTGTTGACCATCTCGAGAATTTTATCTTTATCTTGATCTAGGATCAGCGGGGCCAATGCTACACGACCGATCTGCCAGGAGACACATGTAAGTATCAGATCTGAAAGCCAGAAGAATATGTCGAAGAAGTGTACTTCAGGTTGATCGACGAGATGATATCGATCATGATCATAGTCAATTTTTTGAGAAGAGGCTGTCAGTTTAGCTCTCAGGGCTTGGTCGATAGTTGCAGATTCGGCTGTGACTGTAGAACGAGAAATGTTCGAGATAAGTTCAGCCAGGAATTGTGGAATTCAAAATTGAGGGTTTAGTTTCGACTGACGTGGTCGTTCAGGGTTATGCTTGAGGAACTTGCGAATGAGTTCGGACCAGAGAAGCGCTCCACTAGCTACAAATCAACAGTTTGTAAGTGACCAGTAGTTCAAATGAGCGTAGCATGATCATGAAAGATGTGATGTCATACATTCTTGCGAGTCAGATGATGCGGTGATAAGTTGACCTTTGATGGTGATTGGTGCTTTGTGATCCCAGAGAGCTGCAGATCTGACAGTATCCAGATAACGAGCATATAACTGAGGTTTGGGCTAAGGAAAGATAGTGAAGAGTCAGTATTTCAGTTTCATATGTAGACAGTGTGAGTTTCCTTACCTGAGTTCGATGGATGATAGATGACATATTGCATTGAAACAATTAAGATTCTTTCGTGATAGGATGAGACTGAACTGTAGTTTGTTGGGGTTGAGAAGTTGAGGATTGAAGTTGAAGTTGAAGTTGACCGGTTGAGCTGAAACAAGTGAAGTGGTCAAGAAGTTCACAGATCCAAGATCACAGATGGAAGCGAGTAATAACAATACAGTTTGATAAACTACATTAATATTCAACACACTTCACCCTCCCAGTCAGCTCAAGCCTCAGTCGACCCCACATATGATCACAACCAATTCACTTTTCTCATTGGAATTTGGAATGAACCATGTTTCGATGTGTCACATCTTATTTCTTAGAAAAGCTTGCATGATGGATTTATCGGTTTATCATGGTATCTTGTCCAACATTCAACCCAGTCAAGCACCAGTAGTTTGTGGACCTCACTGTGGAAATTCATGGCGCAGAGGTCATATATCTATGTCAGAGAGATAAAATATCATTTTTAACCAATTTTTTTCATCAAAACAATTACAAAACCCAAGTGAGATAATAAAAAATGCAGAACCAGATAAAAAAAACAACTCAGAACCCAACAATGAATACACCCGGCGAGGAATGTACAATAACAGATATTCAGGAGCCAAAACCCAAGAACAGAATAGTACTAAGTGAAACAAAATTGATAAAAGAAAAAAACCACGAGAAGATATTGAAGAAATTGAGAGAAGAGGAAAAGTAAAGAAACGCAGAAACCCAAATTGATCCATCTCAAAAACAACCACAGAGAAAATTGACTAATACAGATGACATATGACCATGAAAAACCAGAGAGACTGAAGAAGAATCGAAAGATAGAAAATCAAATTGAAAATGAAGCTGGAGAAATCTTGAGAACCGCCCATAGACAGGAAGAAGTACTGAGATAAGATGATAGATAAAAATCGAGAAAAACTATCCAAGGTGTGCCAAAACTTGAGGAGTGATACTTTTAATTTTGTGAATCACGGTGTGGACTGCTTCAAATTGTGAGTCTTCAAACAAGATGTGAAAGGAAAAATGGTGGTGATGTTGCAAATCTGAGTTCGAGATGTGGTAGACTTGATATTTTCGGAGGCTGATGTAGAGATGATCAGGTTTTTTGGATAGATCTATCCGCTTCGCAAGTAATGAGTAGGTCGCAATTTGGGGATATTTTGAGAACAAGATGATGTGAGGTTATGAATCTGATGTAGTAAAAGTTTTCGCCTGAACTTGAATGTTCATTGTCGATTTTGAGAGAGTCCTAAACGGGGGAAATTTTAATTGTTGGAGAGATTTTCTTGCCAGCGCAAAGGTTCATAGAACAGCTGAAGAGAATTTGGAGCGATAGTGGTGAGTAAGGCCACTGGGACGAATAGACCCAGGGTGAAGTAGTACGCAGAGAGCTCGATCCGAGTGGGGGAGCTTCATTGGGTATTTTTTGAGTAACGCGCTCAGGTGAACGGGCACCAAGAAGAATGATCCAACTGCGAAGAAAGCAAGTTATGGTTAGCACCCAGCAAAGCAAAAATTCCGGTGATAACAAAGAATTTAGTAACTTACCGATTCATCTTGGGTGTCATTTTTAGCATACCACAATCTCAATATCAACTTCATCGTCAAAAGGAATGAATCCGATAGTTTCTTCAGGATCACATTCGAGGATTACTTCACAAGGTGTAAGAGGTGTAGTGCCCATACTGCCATATAAGACTTTATTGAGGCTGAGAGCGAGAGGTTGTGTCTAAATGAAGAAAAGGAATCAGTATCTGATGATAAATCAGGGAGAATTTTGAAAAGTATCCTACTAACCTCTGAGCACTCGGGTAAATCATCAATCTCAGGACGGGCTTCAGGAGCTGAACTCGAAACCAGTCCGAGCTTTTGTCCAACCCAACAACAGCCTGTGATCATTTGAGGCACCGAAGGCGAGATCGTACCAAAACAAGAAAGCGAGACCAATCCAAGTATGCGGTACTTGGAGATGTTGATGACGGTTTCTTGTTGGAATCGTAATGCTAGGAAGACAATGGTGACCAAAAGACACCAAAACTGTGGAGAAAGGCGATAGTTGAAAGTGACTGTGGCATCTACGCCAAATAAAGCTATGATGGCGTTGATGACATTAGCGTAGTAAAGTGCGTAGTTGACCAAGTTGTTGATCTTGCTGAGTGACAACATGATTGACGATGAGGTATTATTTCCGAGGAAGTAAGAAGAGCTTTTAGATTGAGAAGTGAGGAGGTGATTTGTATTCAAGATTTGTATTCAAGAAATGTCCAATTGTCAATAGAAAGATTATGGAGATGGGAAGAATGATTTGAGGGTCGAAGGAGCCAACGATTGGTTCTTATACCTCAGCAAAGTCATCTTCCATCTCTTGATAATCTACAATCACACAATAAGACCAGCTACACGATACGACTGAGGTACATTTCCAACGGCTTTTCTTGTTAATTCAGGATATTACTTCTCCCCTCATTCTGACAAAATTGACAAGTTGACTGGATGAATCTCGATTATATTCTCCCCCCTCGACCGTTTTTTCATTACTCCAGTCAAATCAGTGTAATTATGATGATAATTTCATTTCCTCAAGGATCTTGAAGCGATAAACCAACTCGGCGTGGATTCAACCTAAACAAGTATTCAGATAATTGATCCTGATCAGGTTCGTGAAAGCTCATGAATCCATTCGCCGCTGCCGTAACTTTTGTTTCCTTCATCCTTGGATTCCCTCATATTCTGATGCTGACCGCGCCGCGCGCTGGCCATTTACTCAACTTTTGCCCAGAGTAATTTGACAATCCGGCCGCATTCATCCTGAAAACCTGACATTCAGAGACTTCTGGTCAATCTATCAATTTGACTATTCACGTCCCTGTTGAAAAAGGGTCACCCTGAAACTAAATCTGATTTTTGTGAATGCTTTGCTGTATGTTCTAATGCGAAGTTTTATCTGCACTTGTGATGTCAATACCCTTGTGTAAGAGCATGTTGCTTGAGATGACCCTCTACTAGCGACGCCAAGCTCCTGTGATGTTAATCAACTTATACTACTCATCAGCCACAGTCAAGCTTTCCTAATAATCCAGTCCATTTGGAAACCGCCAATGTTACTAAACCTACCCTCAGAATATCATCTGTTATGCTATGGAGCAAAGTGACAATTCTTGAATATTGTCTGAGAAGTCACTACGTGTCTTATTCATCTTACCATATTCTTGTGTTGTTGATCATGATCGACAATGATCCACTTGAAATCGTGTATAACCATGGTGCCCCGTTACTTTGAATATAAGTAAAAGACTTACAACTTTGTACAGCCTGATAACGTTGCTTTCCTTGACAAACCGTGATGTATGCTCCATATGATTTCATAACATCACCTTTTCGATTGACCCTACTCTTGTGCTATTACCTTGGTATTCTTCCGGGTATGATTATTGTTAGCTTTTGGCGTCCTGTGAGATATCCACCTGTGCCCACCCGTGTTGTCGCGAAGTCTTTGTATAGTTCAACAAAATATTCCGCATTCAATAATCCATAATGCCTGGTTACTTTTGTTACTTTGCGATTATTGGTTGGATGACTTTGTTCCCCTTGCCAACGTACCTTTTCGTCATAAAACTTGTTTACTTCCGGAAATTATTGATGTAACCCGCTTTCTGCCTGTCTTCTGATGCAGCTTTCACCAGTTGATCCAAGAGCCCGACGTATGATTTGCGACTTACTCGACTTCGAATGACATTCGTGCCTCAAATTATCACGTTGATATCCTTTAGAGGAAAATTTATGTTACATTTTGTCTTCCTGTGAGATGTCACGCACCCAGTGATTTGTAAGTTCCTCGGTCCCTTGGCTGAATTTCTTCCCTTGGTGCTTGTGAACGTTCCGATGTATACGAATAACGCCTTGCCCCTATGAGAATATTAGTCGACAATTTCGGACCTTGTGTACGTCCTTACTTCAATACTTCTTTATCTTCATAAAACGCCTAGCATCCTTGTTTGAGTATCATTCCAAGATTTATGCCCTTTGTAACTGTTAGAACCCGAATCTCTTCCCGTTTTGTGGTGGTAGTGTTCATCCATTGCTATAGGTGCCACACGTACGGTTCCCGACTTCCTCAGAGCGATGTACAAAAGATTTTCATGTCGGCGGTCGCTATTTGCTTTTGGTGTATCTTGTCTTTGGACCTCGCAACACCCTGGGGGGAATAATTACCTAAAGCTCGTGTTGTCGAAATTGCTAATCATGATCTCTTCTCTTCCTTGGTACTTTCTCGAATCATCAAGGGTATATCTTTAGGGAGTTCATCAGGTGTTGAGTACCCTGGACTATGACGATGGAGTTAGCTTTCAAATATGGTAGTTGGAAAATGTTATGTGTCGAGATTATCTTGAGAAAAACGTTGATAACCGGGATAGATGTGAAAGATTGGTTGCTATCATTGTGAGTGCATGGACACCTAGAAAAGAAAATGATGAATCGAGCATGTATTTCAAGATGTTCGTAAGTTGCTCCACTGTGACGACGTCCTTAGCTTTTATATCAGAAGGTGTAGTTGATCGATGTAATGAGTTGAGATTGCCTTCATGAAGATGTTGATAAACGGGATTGTTGAGAGAAACAAGTTGCTATTATTTGAAGTCCATGGATACATAAAAAAGAATTGATGGATTGAAGCCAAGCTGAGACGAGCGCAAAGGTAGTGATGGGCAAAGAGTTTAAAATCATTGACACGGGTTGTACGTGGAATAATAATTCCTTGCCGTGGCACCAGATAAAACACTATTGCGTTGTATAATCCTTGTCCCTGAAGTATCATAACCATGATAGAAGGCAAAAAGACCTTGTAGATAATTACTCAACAAGTACCAATCGCTCTGGGCACGGCATTTTGTTCTACAAAACGTTTAATGACCAATCTATTTGAGAGCTGGACCAACAAAGGCAGTCTCTTTAGACGCGATCCAAAATCCACACGATCGTCCTGGGTCTTCAACCGCAGGAGAATTCTTGTACCCCACGCAAGTAGGCAGTTTTCCTGCTCATTTGAATCGTTCAATGCCCCCAGTGCCCAAGGAAGGTGAGGGATTCAATTCACGTAAGGGCGGATCTCTACACCCAAATCTGATCCGATTTGCAGAACCAACCGTAAGTCCGCACACAGTGGTTGAAGAGACATAGGGTCTGAATAGGCAAAATATAGTTCCATGATTGTGATTAAGAAATTCATCTTTAGAATCATGGGCTTCACTCATGGGTTTAAAAAAACTCGTACAAAGCAAAACGATACATATGAAAAATACCGAATCCCAAAAAAATCGCGAGTGGCAGAGTTGAAAGTCAAGGGACCATCCCCAACTTTAATCTCGGATGCAATGCGAGTTAAACTTAAAGCAGCATTTACAAAAACTCCAACTTTGATCCAACGGAAACGCAATCAACCGCCAACCACTGCAGCTGTAAGTAAGCGTAAACAAACAGAAACGAATCTTGTGTCTTCTTGTGATCTCTCTCATGCATCTAGGCTGTTCTCTTTATCAAATCTACAAGGGCTGATGATTTATAGTTATAGATATCATTCTATAGCTCTTCCTTTGTGGTACCCTTACATAAAATGGGTATGTGATGGGATGCAATCTGATCACCGGTGAATTTGGCATAAAGTATGTAGTTTGATGATAACGGAAATAGAATCAAGCACAAACATAAATAGAAGAGTTTGAGTGATGGTTTGGTCCCTTCCTGAACTGACCAAGAACGACCTCGACCATGAGAAGTTAACATAACCCAAGTATAAGATTAGTGACGAACGTCTCCAAGAAATTAACCAGCCAATAAGATTAACTCCTATTGTTTGCTTATGATTGCCAAGATATGTGCACAGAAAGAGTTGGGAGCTGTTGGGAGATAGGAAACACACGACGGCGGGGATAGAATGAAGAAACACGCGATGTTCATCAGATTTCAAATGTGAAGTCACTTTTTACATTTCACATCATCCTAGTTAAAAGCCTGGTAAGCAAGCTCTTAGCCATCTTTGTGTTTATCTGCTGCTACTGATCAACAAGTGTGATCAAAGAAGGAAAGTAGAGGAAAGTCCACAGTCCGTTAAACCGTGAACGAGTTAGGGATCTACAAAGTGGATCAAACTTATGATATACAAGATTTTAGATGGACCAACATACCGCGGATCAAGGACTCCTTGTGTGGATTTTTTTCAGGAGCAACAAAAGTAGCACTACAGTAGATTTCAGTATTGGGATGTAAGTTGGTCCTCCACCGTGGAATCTCGCAAGCTGTGTCGATAAGTATTAAGTACGTCTATTTCTAAGTACATAACAACCGGGAGCGCTTCCCGAGGCTCACCTGATTTGTATGTATGTAGGTTGTCTATAGAAGAGACACAACTTCTAGCTATTTGATCACGAAAACCCAGAGTGGATGGAAGGATAAAGCGAGGATTCTTGGTAGATCAGGGGGTGCAGTGCAGGACGAAGCGGACGGAGCAAGGGATGATGAATTGAACATGAGAGTCATAAGAGTCATAGAGGAAAGTTGAAAGAGTCAGATTGGACAAAGAAACATCCGAAACCAAACCCCTTCGATGATAGCTTAACGATGGGCTGGTGTGGTGCCCATCTCAACTTCCCCAATCATCTGACCATCTTAGCGCTTGAATAAATCTCTCACCCCACAAGCGATCGAAGAAGAAAGTCAAAACTCAAAATATGTAAAAATAGTATGGGGAAACTAAAGTCTGACCCCACAATTTCAAAATCAATTGTACAGTTGACATCTACAGGTCAACCCCGCCTCACCCCGCATAATTTTCAACATGGCGTCCCCTATTTTGAAAGAGTGGAGTCTGTACATTCAACAAGAAACACCCCGTTACGAGGAGCACCGACGATGGGAGACGAGCACGATGGCAAGGATGCAAAGGTTAATGAGACTGTAGAGAACTCAGTCTTGGCTCTTGAGTTGATTTTGCAAGGGAACCACGGTCGGTTGTGTGAATCGAATGTGTATAATAAAAAATCCGGGGTACGCTTTAAAAATCAGAGTTGAATTGAATTCAGTTTGGAGATCATTGATAAAGAGAGAGAGAGAGAGAGAAAAGGTCAAGAGGGACCCATCAGTTTACCATCCCAAAAAGATATAAGAACTCATCAATTCTCGTCATATTCCCTATCTCTTCATTCCCATCTCAACCCCTTTGAACATTTGTCAAACACACAGTATCCATTCTCATCCTCAACCATATCATCTCATTCGAATTTATAACTTAGCTCCCTTCATCTCATCTTCTTTGAACCGATTCACTCAACATATCAAAACACATCACTGTTTTACATATCTATCTTTCCTCCTCTTGACCATCTTCGTCCCTTTCATATAAGCCTTTTCATCAAAATCCAAGCGTCTTTTTAAATTCCCAACACAAACATATCATTCAAGATGTTATCAGACCCTGTCTTCACTTCTATCAACGCTAATCTCTACCACCCCGATCATGTACTCAAACATCCTGACTTTAAAATCCTCAAAGCAGATGAAGTTAAACACGTCTCTCCTTCAACTAACATTGCGTGCTTTTACAATGACAAGAAACAGGTTTGTCTCTTCCTTCTACTTATCTCTCTATGATCATCAAAGTACCTTACTAATCTCGATCATGTTTTGACTCTTAGATTCATATGGTACAGAAACCTATGCCAGAAGTTCATCCTGGTCAAGTCTTACTTCATGTAAGAGCCACCGGTATCTGTGGATCTGATGTTCATTTCTGGAAACACTCCCGAGTTTGTCTCACATCTCTACAAACTATAATTCATCGTCAGTTCTCATGTCTAATTTTATCAACGCTGCGTGTTGTGTTTTGGATTAGGTTGGTGACACCATGGTTGTAAAAGATGAGGTAAGCAACCTTTTTCAAATTCTTTCTACACCCAAGTTGAGACGTAAACTTATCATTTTCAATTTCTATCTTCAGTGCGGTGGTGGTCATGAATCAGCCGGTGAAGTTATCCAGGTTGGAGAAGGTGTCACTCACCTCAAAGTCGGTACGTTGAAAAGTCCCTATTGAATTGACATCTCGTGTTCCGATGGCTCATTTTCCGGCTTTGATTATTTCCTTACCATAGGTGATCGTGTCGCGATCGAGGCTGGTATTCCATGTTCCAAGCCAACTTGTGAGATGTGCCTCACAGGTAAGAACTCTCCCTGCGCCCCTGTTTTCCTGGCAAGTTCTTGTATATTCAGAATTTCTTACCTCCTTGCTTGATTCTCAGGTCGATACAACGCTTGTCCCGATATAGTCTTTTTCTCGACTCCACCATTCCATGGACTCCTCACTCGGTTTCACGCTCATCCAGCATGTTGGCTTCACAAACTTCCACCTTCGATTTCCTATGAAGAAGGATCATTACTCGAACCCTTGGCTGTCTCTCTGGCCGGTATTGAACGTTCTGGTCTTCGACTGGGTGACCCAGTCTTAATCTGTGGAGCTGGTCCAATCGGTCTAGTCACCCTACTCGCTTGTCGTGCAGCAGGTGCATCACCCATTGCGATCACCGATCTTTCCGATGACCGTCTCAACTTTGCTAAACAACTCGTCCCAACTGTCAAGACTGTCAAAGTTGGTCGATCTTCAACTTCAAAAGAGGTTGCAGATCAAGTAGTAGAAGTTATGGGTTTAAAGCCCTCAATCGCCATTGAATGCAGTGGATTTGAATCCTCGATCAATGCAGCTATCTTTGTGCGTAACAATCTCGATCCGAACCATGCATCATTTCTTGAATTACTCACGCTGCATCGTATTTGCTCTTCCAGAGTATGAAATTCGGTGGTAAAGTGTTTGTGATTGGAGTAGGAAAGGATGAACAAGTTTACCCATTCATGCACATGAGTGCCAACGAGATCGACTTACAATTCCAGTACGTTGAGGAGGTGATCTGTTTTGTCAACAACAGAGACTGACTCTTTTCTTTCTTTCTTTTCTCTAGATTCCGATACGCAAACCAATACCCAAAAGCCATCAGGTTATTGGAAGATGGTCTGATCGATCTCAAACCATTGGTCACTCACCGTTTTGCACTAGAAAAGGCTGTGGAAGCATTTGAAACTGCAGCAGATATCAAATCAGGTTCAATCAAAGTTCAAATTCTCGATCTTTGATCCCCCCAAACGCTTTCAATCTTTAATGTTTCCGGTAAAAGGACAATCGAATGAATAAACTCTCCCAACCTGAAGGAAAATTGTGACATTACAATGTTTTTGGTTCTTTTTTTGTCGTTGGTTTGAAGATTTTTTATCTTTTGTTTACCTTAATTTTTGAATCTTCCTTTTAATCGAACCTCGCAATCAAAAATCTCAAATTGTATTAAACTTTTCAATTCCGTTTGTTTTTTTCCATCTCTCTAGTCTTGGCTAGTATTCTCAGTCTCAAGAATCAGTTTTCTTCGGTTTCATCTACTTGTATTTCTAAGATGAATGAATCCTACCTTGAAAGATTCGTAGTAGTGCTTTCAAAAGAACAATAATAATAAGCAATTTTGGGTATCGTGTTTTCAAATTCAGCGCCAAATTCTTCCAAAATCACTGTTCCACTTTCGAAAGGCCTTTCAACATGTGCTCTGCCTCCGGTCCTGTATACCTTTTCTCATCATTCTTATTGTAGTCTGTCGCTGTCACTCAGACGAAGAAGTCTCAGAAATTGAAGTTCTTAGTTACGGGCAAAAAAATGTTATTTTAAGCATGGAGATAAAGAACAATAGTTCTTGGTCACTGCGCGCAAGAGCGATGTGAACTTCTAGTCCTCATTGTTCTATCACAAATATAATGACATCTTCGAAATGATCATGAACGAATAAAGCCTTGGATTCGAGTTTTGATTTTCTGGCCCCCATCCACTGATGCATCTACTTTAACACCTGAAACATACATTCAAAGACCTGCACAATGACAAGTGTAAGCTCAAGTGTCAATTGTTTTTCTTCAAAAAAGGGATGAAATTTTAATAGGATTCATTGTATGCAAGATTAATTACAAAATGTTAACAATTCCAAAAAACCAAAGAAAAAAAACAGACATAAAATTAAACATTTTGCAAAAGAGAAAAAAATGACCAGCATGAGAAAAACAAAACATACTGTAATTGATTTCTTGATTTAAAAATTGCAAAAAAAACAGATAAGAAAAAAAAACTATTCTAGAGAATTTAAAAGGTAAGAGAGAGAAAGAGAGAGAAAAAGAACCATGCTCAAAAGCTTGAATAGAAAAAAAGAAAAAGTCTAATTGAAAGATAAGAAAAAGATGGTTTCTATTCCAGAAGAGTGATAAAGAATGAAAAAAGAAAAAAAAAGATATTGATGCGTACAAAAATCTATTACAAAACAAAAAAAAATCAAAGAACAATCCAAGTAGAACGAACCCACACTTCAACCAAAAAGAAAGAAACCAAGTCATAATTTCAGTTTACGATGCATTCCAAGTTTTCAAAAAGTGATTAGGTTTTTCTGGAATTTGGTTTAAACTTCATGATGATTATGATCTTTAGAAACAGATGAATAAGTATGTTGATGATGTAAATGATGTGCTTCTTTAGTCTGATCGAAATCTTCAGATCCATCATCAAATTCATCTTCATCAGATCTACGTTCTAATGGAACTTTAGGTAAAGCGAATTCGGCTAATCCTCCTCCCACATGTCTCAGACCTCTACCTAATCCAAACTAAAGTTCCCCCCAAGAAAAAAACAAACGTTAGTCAATCTAAAGAAAGCAATTAGAGCACATGAAAAGAGAACTTACAGCTGCTTGGAAATCGAGGGCATGACCTTGTTGTTGTGTACTAGGTGATCTTGTGTAGGCTTTTCCTCTCCATCTATCAATAAAGAAACGAATAGAAGAAGTAATATCATAAAGAAAATCACGATAACTATACAAAGTATCGTAAAAAAAGGAGATCAATACTTGCTTCGAAAAAAAGATGAGGATTGAACAGAGCAAAAACGGTAAACAAACTCTTGTGAGTGAGCAAAACTAGACCAAAATGGTGTTTTATCCTTTCCAGAACCTTTAATAACAATTGCATATTCTGTATAAGGACTAATTCGATTACAAAAGCCAATTATCAGATTGATCATGAGAAATGATAAAAAGAGACATCGAAAGACTTACAAAGCAAAGAGTTGAACGATACTAACGATAGCCATCTCGATCGTCACACAAAGTGCATTCAGTCCATCTGCAATATTATCAGATGTCCAAGACCTTGTAGCTTTAATGTAACCAAGTCCACTAAGAACCGAGAAAACAAAAGTTTGATAAAAGACCAAGAAGATAGCCACTCTAAGAGATTCAAAACGTTTGATTAGATATGATACTGATGAGGAAGGAGTTTGAGGTTTGGTAAGTAACTCAACTTGATAGATAAAAACTTCATCATTGGTCTATGGCCTGCTAGATCATCTGCTACTAGATGGTAAAACAAAAGTAACCCATAAAGTGCAACAGATACAGATATGAAGGTGATAACTGTAAGCCAAACCTATTAAACAAACACAACCAAAACCCCCCAAGAAAAGCAAAAGAAGATAAATCAGTCAACCGAATCAATTCAAGAGAACTGACTATATGAAAGAAAACTTACATTAGCAAAACGATAATCATAAGAAGCACCACAGAAGACATCAAAACTATTAGTAATAATCGAAACGAGTGAAATGATCGGTCTTAAGATCACATATTGCATCACACTCCATTTGACAGCAAACAGAAAGTAAGGTTTAGAAGGTCTAAAATACCAACAACAGAACGGAAAAGAAAGTTTAGTTTTCTCTTTACGTGTCATCACTTCACGTTGTTCTAAGGGTGAACGTCCAACATAAAGTAAACATAAAATCAAAAATGAAGCTAAGACGAATGCTTCGTAACAGTCTCGGATGATCCCAAATGATATGTATTCTTTGTAGTATCGGTAACCGAAGAAAGAGATTATCGAATATAATGGTGCCATTAGTAAGATTCGAACGATTTGTCTTTGTTCTAATGGTTTTTGATAATGTGTACAATGTAAGCTATTAATTTGATAAAAAAAATCGAGAATCAAGAACGAAAGAAGGTATTAGTGTATATTAAAGGTAAAAGAGAAATTGAGAAAGGGAAAGAACTCAACAAGATATTGGTAAAGCTTAGAAGTGTTGCCAATAGAGCAGCTCCACCTGCAATAGTCTTTGATCGGCAAAAATCAAATCAAATCAGAAACTTGTTCATTGACCCTAATCTTTGAAAAAGTCATATATTTACCCAACCAATATGATGTTTATCCCATTGAATATGTAGACTCTAAAAAGTTAAAGTAAACCAACATAAAATCAAAGATTAGGTTCATCCGTTGAATGAATGTTTCATTGGTCAAGATCAAGAAGAGAATGGCCGACAAACCTGATCAAAGTATCCATCGTGTGATTCTTCTAATGGAGCTTCTTCAGGACAAGTAAGAGCGAGTGTGTAAGAGATTGAGGTTGAGACAATGAGAGTGATAAGAGTGATAAGTCGAGTAGAGAGTGTCATAGTGAATAAGTAGGTTCGCTTGGGGGTTTTCGTTTGGCGGTTCCTTGTAGGTCTTTGGTCGTTGTAAATTCGATAGTTTTAAGATGTTTTGATAAATCGATGTTGAAGGAGATCAGTTGATAAAATTAATCAAGTTTTTCAACATAAAGGCTTCAAGTTTTGAAAAGTATAAAGCCTGATGATCATGAACTCTTCAAATACGAACTCAAAGCTCAATCAAAAGATAACAAAAATGAGTTTCTGTTGTTTGTAAGGATCAAATCAAATAACTTGTTTTTTCTACAAATTTGATACACAAATCTCGTTAATGGCGGGTCAAAGGTTTAGCGAAAAAAAAAATACGTGTTTGTGTGTGAATTGAATGAAATGAGTAGAAGAAAGTAGAAAGTTCAATCAATGGAACTAAAAAGTTTGGTTATTGATTTGAATTTTAAACTGAGCTTGCTGCTTTACACAAAAAAGAACTAGGGTGTAGTCCAAATTATCAGTGGCTTTGAATCGATTGGTTCATTTTCTCACAACCTTTGGTTCTCTTTTCCCAAAATAGTTCAATTTCTTCACATTTACATAAAATGAAAAATTAACAATGAAAAAAACCCAGAACTCCGGATCGTCCTGCAATGATAATCCTCTGAAGTAATTTGGACCGAACAAAAGTCATGATCTACAAAAGGTTTTGGAGGTAAACTGCTACAAAAAGTGGGCTGAAGTGAATTTTTGTCTGAGCTTGTCCGAATCTTTGCAGGAATATTTGGATGATTTCATGCTTTGGACGATTTGCCAAATGTTTTTTCGCTATAAATTTGCACATTTTTCAGCTTACCAGATTAAAGGCAATGCATCTGTGCAGCAATTCAAAAGGATGCCTCAAGGAATAGGATTGATAAGGATTGATATACCTGATTCCAAATATCTCAGTGCGTCAAAACTTATGCCAACACATGAATTTTGACTTACTGAATATGAACCAAATAGAAGTCAATCAAGATCAACCATATATTTTTGAGGATAACTGCTACAAAAAGTCGGCTGAAGTAATTTTTTGGTCTGGATTTGTTTGAAGATATTTTTGTGCTGGAGGAATGAATGTTTTGATTTTCTGGATGATTTTCCAAGTATTTTATGATGGAAATTTGCACATCTTTCATCTTACCTGACTGAAGACGATGCTTCTAATGCAGCAATTCAAAAGGATGTCTCAAGGGATGAGATTGATATTTATACCTGATTCCAAGTATCTCAGTGCCTCAAAAAATCTGCCAACACATGACTTTTGACTTACCATGAAGCATCCAAAAGTCCTCCAGATTTATAAAGACTCAAATGTGACTTTGAAACCCAAAGATGTTCAAGCAATAATCCTACAAAATCATGGTACATACTCATCAAATTTAGGTATCCTTTTCAAAGAGAAGCTTTACATACATTTATATGCTCATCATGTTGGTATTGGTCATAAGTTTTTCAAAGCACATCAACATACCCAAGTAACACAAGGTCTTTGTTTCAAGAATCCTCCTGTGTCAGTCAAGTGTGATTATCTTTGACTCTTTTAGCTCAAGAAATCCTCAAGACTCGCAGAGGGCGCAAGAGTTCACAGCCACAGCCTAATACATGTGTTTCTAGTGTTACAGTGTGCAAAAGTGCTCGAGTGAAGATCCCAGTTCCTGCTCCAAGATCAACTAAAGTAGCATCATGATCAGGTATGTGAATGACCAAAGATTTGATTGATTGATTGAAGTGGATAAGTTGGTCTAGCTTGATTGTAAAGAGCTGAGGCTAGATTTTGACAAATGTAGAAATCTTGGTGTGAGGCAACTGAGATTGCTGGGTTTTGTATAAGACATCAGAAGAGGGAGAGAGCTTAAATCACCTGATTTTGGAAATGCTTCGTTGACAAGTTCTTGATGATTTGAAGGATATTGAGGGGTTCGACCTTACATCATCCTAGCATTCTATAAGCATATTGGCTTAAGTCAATTCTCAAGCATTTTTGTTTCAACAGTTTCACCACTTTTAATTTCCACAATACCCTTCAGAACATTCATATTTCTTACTATTTCTCAATCATTGAGAAATCAATGGCTACCTCATCATCCGCCATGGGCATGGGCGTGACTACTCTAAAATCAGTCTTACGCAAACAAATCCGAACCAATTTATCACAATTAGATGAAACTTCAATCATTCAACAATGTCGGTAACGGTTCCCAAGCCTTTTCCATTTCAATCTAACTATTTCTTATCACAAGCTAATCTTCAGATCGTTTTTTGTTCTTGGTATCTGCATTTCCTGTTTTTTTTTTTTTTCTTTTTGTTTTCCGATATTGAATAGCTAAATCAGTTTGTAAGATTATAAAAGAATCAAATTGGTATACCTCATCTAAAAAAATTGGTTGTTATCTTTCCATGAAAAATGGTGAATTAAGAACCGATGAAATAATTTTAGATGCATTCTCTTCAGGTTCATGTCTCATTTTCCTCAATTCTCTCTCAAACTTTCATGTGTGACTCATTTCTTAAATCTGATGGAATCTCAATGATGAATTTTTTAGGTAAAGAAGTTTATATTCCATATTGTTCTTCGAAAACCGAAATGAGAATGTTAAGATTAGAAAACCAAAGTGGATTTTCAAATCTATTGATCAATCGATGGGGAGTTCGAGAATATTTACCTAGTCAGGTTTCTACTTTTGGTATACAATTATTACTATCCTTGTCTTTGATTTCTTTCATTTTATTAATCACCTTATATTCTTTTTCATTCTGTTCAGAATCGGTCGATGAATCACTAGATTTACTTCTGATGCCAGGTAAACTATAAACAAACCATTAAAATAGAATTGTGACTGACGAGATACTTTCTCTTTGATTTCAGGTCTTGGCTTCGATCGATCAGGTGGAAGACTTGGTCATGGTCGTGGATACTATGATCGTTATCTTTCTAAACTCAAAGCAAGTTCTAATGATTCCCAAACACCAATGCCATTACTAGTTGGCTTAGGACTAACTGAACAAATCTTACCTATCGGTCTTGAGCTACCGACTTGTGAAACTGATCATAATCTCGATTTGTTGGTTGGACCAGAGGGACTGATCAAGTTTTCTACTTTTTCCTCATGATCATCTCTTGTCATTCTAAAAGAAATTTCTTTCAACTTTGGCTAACCATTAGACTCCTTGTGCCGATTCCCTCACATAACTTTGATGGCATTAGCTGCTCAAAAGAATCTCAAGATTGCCACTGTTCAATATTGATGATCTATTTGCATCTAGGCAAAAGTCGTCTCAATACATTACAAAGTTGTGCTCCAGTTTGAAAGGCCCGTGAATGTCAGTGAAGAGAGGAAAGGGTATCGTTACACAGCTTAGGATTATGTTATCAGGTGCGAAGGTACGAGCTCCCCGATTCTTATACACTGTTTACCACCCAACAAAAGACCATCTTAAGGCAGGGATCAAACTGTGATGACGTAAGTGATGGATGATAGTCAGATTGAAGATGTCGAAGGGAGCTTCATCGGTCAAGTTGGTGCAATCGATCGAGTTCTTTGCCTTGAACCGGGCCTAAAGATAATCTCAATACAATATGGCCCTCAGTTCCAAAATGGACAAAAAAAAGTCTTGCAAAAGTTAAAACCACAAGATTGTATTACCAAAAAAAAAGTCGTTGTTGTTTATCAAGTTCATCAATCTAAGCTAACATTGTATTATCTCGAATCGAATCTCTAATATGCTGTGCTTCTTGATACTGTCTAACCTCTTCTCTCTTGATCTTTAACATTTCACCTAACACAAACAAAAGAAACCCCCAAAGCATCTCATGAGTTTTAATGATTTCAAATCGGTTTATAAGATATATTTTCTTGAAAGATTTGAATGTATGACATACGTTGACGTTCTTTAAGACCATGAAAGTAATAACCAAGCGAACCAAATACACCAGCAGCAACAAAATGACCACCAAGATCTAAGAAAACCCCAATCATTCATTCATTTTGAAGAAGTTGATAATTAGTATCTATATAGATCATAAACCATATAGATTTCTTAGTTACTCACTTTCGAATAAACCTCTTCGCATCACACCAAGTTGATAAACTCGTACTCCAAACCCAACAGTTGCCCAACCAGCAGTATAAGTTAATAGACCCATTCCTGCTCCTTGGAAGATTCTTTAAACCGATATGATATGAATGAGATTGGAAGTTGGATGTGTAGTTGGTTTGGTATTGAAAGTTGATTGTTGATTGGTTCTTGAAAGGTGGATTCGGTCTTCTCGAATTCGATATGTAAACCCGTAGTGAGCCGTTCGAAATATGCATATATCAAGAAGTAAACTGGAAATACCTTTCTAATACCATACTTAGCTTCTGAATAACCCATGATTCAACATCACAACCTCCAAAATTCTGACTCCTCAAATCAATCCTAGCTTAAGCTCAAATCCAAACTACAAAATATCTTTCTTGCAATCTCTTGACTTCCTCCTGGTACATAAATATCATAAGACAAATCTACTGAATGGTTTGGTCACAGGAACGCAAGTTTCATTTCTCATATGTTCACTTTAAAACCAAAGCTCAAACTCCATTCAAACAAAATGTTTTCATAGAATTTGCTTATCTTATTCCGAAAGAAAAAACAAAGCTTATTGAATGGAGGAAATGGCTCGCTATTTAGAACATGATGATCAGATTCAAGTGAGCAGAAAGAACCTGAACTAGAAATCTCATTGTATATACCATTTTGATCAAAAGAAAAGTTTAATACGGTCGTTATACATACCTCACAAAACTCACGTCTCACTGCTCAAGAGCCGTCAAACCAAATCAAAACCTCATCCCAAAAGAATTCCAATCAACAAACCACAAACCTACAAATCAAACCCATAAACCAACCCAAAAACTTCTCAAAAATACCCTAGAAACTTACAAACTCTCATGCCGGTGTGTTTATAAAAAAAATCTCAAAACTCTTTTAAACAAATTTCATAATTCAACCAAAACCAAAGAAAATGATGATCAAGTTCAAAACACCAAAAACCCCATGACCATCCCTCTGGAAAGAAAAAAAAAACACAGATCAATCAAAAACAAACACATACATTCTTCACAGAATTCACAGACCAAAACCAAAACCAAAGAAGAAACCCATACAAAGAATCAAAACAAAAAAGTGATATATATGTATAAAATAAAATAAAAAAGAAACGGTTATGTAAAAAGAAAACCGAAGGATTTTATTTCTTTTTGGGGAGGTGTTGCTTTTAAAGTCATCAGAAATTTTCAATAGCATCTACCCCTATGTATGTATGTATGTAGTTCAAATTTTATAGAAACCCAAAACAAATGTAAAATGAGTTCTTATCAACTACTACTACTACTACTGATCAATTTTCCATCTTTTTCTTGATTCCTTTGGTTTGAAAGATCGTTTTCAAGAAAACTACCAATCCAAAAAACAAATCCCAATCAATTTTAAACTCAAAACTCAAGATTCCCAAAAAAAAGAAATTGAATCTACTTACTTTCCATCTATTATTACACTACAAAACATGATCAGAAAACGAAAAACCAATTCAAAAACATCTCACATCAGAATCTAGACCGAAGAGTTTCAAAAAAACGAGTTACTTACATTCACACATCTGTAAAAAAATCATCATCAATTCCGGTCATCATTCAATCCGAATCGGAATCAGAAAAACAAAACAAAAAGACCGTGAGTAATCGAATTCAAATAAAGAAAAAATCCATCTTATCCTAAGACGATTTCTCAAAAAATAAGAAAATCAAAAGAAATCAATCCTCACGTCACGAAAGTCTGTGTACAAACCCGATAAAACCATCATCACATCAGTCAATATAATATCCAAAAAAAGATGTCATGTAAAAAAAGAACTCAAAACTTACAGTCATAGGTTCATCAGCCGATCTAGTTTGCATTTGATACTAAAAAAACCAAAAAGAAATCATCAACCAAACAGATCAAAGTAAGATAACCGAAAGATGATAAAGTGATGATCGAATCGGATCGAATGACATACATAAGTACATTTCCTTTGACCACATCTACCACACCTAAACGCGTCCGTTTCAGCTTGTTGAGGTCCAGCACCTCTAGCTTTAAACAAATTCTCTTCAGCCAATTTCCGATCCTGAGCTTTCCTTTCTTCACTTGCCATATCCTATTCATTCCCCCCCAACAAAATCAGTCACTCTCTCTCGGAGAAAGCGAATGGTTTGACTTACAGCTGGTCCCATACTACATAACTTCATCGAACTGATCTCTCCACTTACCACAGCTTCTCTTAAACCTGGATTGTTTTTGTCTTTTAAATTAAAAATTAAACTTCTCATCTTGTTTTTGTATCCGTTTGAATCGTTTGTTCGATTGACTTCTGATTCGATCGATTTAGCTCTTTCATAAACTAAATCAGCAGCTATCGAAAAGAAGAAAAAGACACAGGAATGAAATTAATCAATTGATTTTTTCTTTTCATCAACGTGGGTTTGGTTTGGGTTTTTATAGAGTCAAGTTTCTTAAACGCAGATCGAGCCTCGCTTCAACCTTTACCATACCTTTTCTCATCAACATAAGAATGTCTAGAGTAAGGATGGTAAAGATTGACGCGAGGCTCATTTCATAAACGCGTTCTCAAAACACCTATTCCATCTCATGAAATCTCGATCGATTCCGGTCCTCTTGGAAACGATCGATCCGAAAGAAACTAGGCAGAAGATTGAGAAAAAAAAAACTCACGAGCATCTGAATCAAAGATTAATGCATCAAAGACGGATTTCATACTTCCATCTCTAACTTTATCTTGTAAAGATTCGAATTTCAAATGAGTTTCGGTTTTCGAACTTCTTGGTCCAGTACGTTTAGTACTAGATGGATTAGGTGTTAGGTTACTTGAACTTGATGGTGATGGTTTTTTTGAACTTGATGAACTTGGAATCGATGTTTTAGCCATCGCTACTGGTGGGGGTGGTGATTTAAGATCTTTCAGTGAATGTGTAGGACCTATAAAAACCCAAAAAACCAAAACCAAAAACCATTTAGTTCATGTTAATCCATACAAGAATAAATCATGTGGTTGGGTGGGTTTTTTCGGAAATAAAACAAACTTTTTTGGGGTTGACTTCCACTGGCAAGATGAGTAGGAGTACTCGAATGTGTAGGATGATTAGGTTCTTTCTTCACTCCATTCTTCCATTCGTTTACAATCAATTTGGCTAATTTAGATATCTCATGATCAGGATTTTGTCTTTGTTTTCCAACTGAAATTCCAATCTTCGTAGTCTAATGAGATGTATAAACAAAAAAAAAAAAAACGATTCAGTAAATGATCATCACGTGGTTTATCATGTGAAGGAAAAGGAAAATCGATGTCCGATCGGAATCAAATAAACCCAAAAAGTTTAATGGGTGGAATTTTTCGGCGGGGGGGAGGGAGGGTTTTTGCAAAAACTCAACTCGAATTAATTCTTCAGTAGGTACCACTTCTTTACGTAATCGATTCAAAATATTTTTAACCTCCTAATAAAATTCATAATAGAGAAGAATGAGTGATAGATCAAGCAAGAAGGAGTTTAGATGAAATGAGACTTACTTGAGTGTTTGAAGCTGAGACTGCTGTTGTTAGTTGTTTTTTGAGCGCATGAACTGTTTCGTACATGGCTCTATTAGGTTGGGTTGAGCTTGACATGATGATTGAGTGTTTCTGATGAATGATATGATGAATGATTTGATTTGATTGAGAATGAGATGGATTGGTTTAAGTAGTTTTGATTGAAATGCTGAGTTGAAGTGTTGAGACTGAGTGAGTGAGTCTGAGGAGTGAGAGTCTGAGTAGCACCACTCAGACTCTCAAACCTAACCCTTATCTCAAGACTCAAATGCAATTGAACCTCACTCGAAAACTACAAAGTTGTATGTATGCGCTCGAAGCGTGCGAGAAGTAGCGCGTAGTTGAATTTAACAAACTACAACTCAAACTCAATCCAATTCATGAGCACTTTGAACTCTCATAGACTCTCATTCCAAAAAACAAATGGCATTCTATAAGCAAGACTCTCGATATGTATTACATCAACTAGTTAATTATAATTTACACCAAACATAACCAGTTTCATTCCATTCACCCACCACCACACTTCTTCTAGACCTTTCTTCAGTATCATCATTCAATTCTTCAAGTACCAATCTAATCCCACCTAAAGCTTTCAATCCGTCTTCCAAAGCTAAATACTCAACCGAAACCCGATTCTCCAACCCGATTTCCGACACTCGAACTTGATCAGGTCCTAATCTGACCATTCCAACTTGATCAGATCTAATTTGATCCTTACGAATCAAAGGACGAGGTGTTGATAAATCAGTAGTAAGACTATTAGGTTTGAAGTTCCCATTAAGGGTCCATCGATTAGGTTTTTGAGGTGGGTCGTTCCAAGTTGATTTATTTGGGCTTTTGGTTTCAATGGTAGATGATCTTTTGGTACTAGTGTTAGATAATAAATTAGATGAGAATGAAACCAGACTTTCTTTTAATGACCAATCAGGATTAGAAGAAACATTGGAAAGGTTTGTGGGGGTTTGATCTACTTCGATTGAAGAATGATCATCATCAATTGATAAATGTTGGAAAACTAAAACCCATGAACTTGGGTTTTCTAAAATAGGTAAAGATGATAAGTTAATTAAATAAATCACTTTGAAGGGGATTCCTACTTTTATATTTGAAGATTCATTTAAACTTTCAATCAGCAAATCAAATTTAATCGATTCAAATCGATTGAAACGGGTTTCTTCAGGTTTCCAATTTGGGATTGATGGAATCGGTCCTGGTAAACGTTTTCGTGTTAATGGATTGGTCATTAATCTTCCTGATTCTCCCATCATACTATTCCAAGAAATTTCTAATCTTCCTAGAATTTGAATGGGTTTCTTTAAGGAAGAAGGGTTGACTGATTGACTGATGATTAGGAATAAGAATTGATTGGAATCATTTGTTGATAGATGAGTCAATGAGTTGGATAATAAATTAGTTTTAGAATCTAGGTTTAAATCAAGATATTCTAGTTTGTCTTCTTCTGCTTCTTCTTCTGGATTGGTTTCAGCTTGAGGTGGGATCAGTTTGACGTGTTGGAAGATGATAGGTTGGGTGGATTGGTTTTGGATTTGAACTTCTAAGTAAAGTTGTTCACGGATTGTAGGTGAAAAGATCGCATTGATTGTAGAAGGTAATGGACTTGTTTGGAATGAGGGTTGAGCGCTTGATGGGACTAGAACTTTGGTTTTCACTGATAATGGATTCAAAACTTGGAATTTGTAGACTGGAAGTGATTCATAAGTCGATCGAGAAATTTAAGTGATCGGGGATACGATCGTGATAGATCAGTTGGATTGTTAGAAAAAGCAAGCCATCAGTGTCCAATGAGATTAGATTAGAGTTTATTTTCGAGAGCTGAACAGTACCCTTTCTAAAACTTCTTGGGACTCGAACAGTAGGATCTGGAGAAGGATTCGTTGGGTCGAGATCTTGAGAGTTTACAGATTGGATTTGATCATAAAAAACAGTACAAACCAAAGTATGAAGACCTTTAAATGAAACCAGACCAATTCAAACTGAGCATCAATCATCATGAGACAATCTAGAAACACATCCAATTCTCTTCAACATACCAAGTTCTTTAATCTCATGTTTAACCGATAATTCTAATCCGTTTTGACCGAATCCGATCTGATGAGTTTTAATTTCATCCAAAAAAGCTTTATGAGAAGCTGTATGTAATTCGACTTTTAAAGCTACATTCTCTACGATTGAATCCAGTTGATTTCCTTCATATTGAACTGATAATAAACCATGAAAGGTTTGACCAAGATAGATGACACCAAAGGAATCGGGTAAAGTGAGTGTTGAACTCTTGGGTGCTGATTCGAATGTGATGGTTGAGATTGAGTTTGATGGGTTGATTGGATTGATTGTTGGATGTAGTGGTGGTTGTTTGAATGTTGGTCTTGCTGCTCTTAAGACTTTTAGTGATAGTAAATGGTGTTGAGATGTTGGTATGTTTTGATTGGATTGAGGAATTGATGGGTTTGACATTCTTTCTGTTCTTGATTTCTTTCTTTCTTTACATTTCTACTTTGGTGGTCTTCTTGAAGAGAACATCAAATCAGAGCATTGCAATGGCACTCACCCACTCCAGAGTCCAGTCAACTGCTGGCAATAAACCACTCCATAACCCGGTCCGAGCTGAATTGGGCGGATAGTTTCGGGGCCAACCTCAGTTCACGCACTCTTCATGAAGGTCAGATTTGAAAAGACGTCCTCAAGAGGAAAGAGAAAGTGAGTTTAAAGTTTCAATTGGATTTTGTATTTATCAATCAAATAACAATCAAACTGACTTGAACATTTCTTCTGATAGCCAATTCATCAACTTATTCAGTTAGATCATCATTCAAAAAAGCACATCATGTCTCACAGTGGCGAATCCAATCCACCACTAAACCCAGCACCACAAGCCGATGAAGAAACCGAAACCCATCAAGAATCTCAAGTAGAAGATACAGAAATGAACGAAGAAGCACCAGAAACAGAAGATCATCAAAGTGAAGATGTGAATGAGATCAATCAAGAATTAGAAGAAGATTTGTTTGGTGGAGATGAAGATGGAGAAGATGAAGGAGGTGAAGGAGAAGGAGAAGTGATGATGGATGAAAATGAACTTAAGAAACGAGAAGAAATGGAATATCTTGAAGATCCTTCACAGCTTCAACATCAAGCTCGTGATCGATTGATTGCAGAAGCTACACTTTTAAATTTACCATTACCATATGCATCAGATGAAAAAGTAAGTCGAAAGAAACCGAAAAATCTATTCAAAACTTTTTTTGGGTTGATTGAATTGATGAATTTTTTTTGGAAAACAAATCTAGTATTGGGATTTTCGATTACCTAACTTTTTGGAACTTGATTCACAAGCCTTTACCGACCAAAAGTTTTTAAATGAAGTGAAACGTTCTACAACGGAAGAAGAAGGAAACCCATCGAAATCGAGTTCAGTGTTTCCTGATCATAATACGATTCGTTGGCGTTGGGTGATGGGTCGGGATGGAAAACCGGTGAGAGATGGTTACGGCTTTCTTCAGATCTGTTGTGGATTGGGTCAAAGGAATTGACAAGATGACTTGATTGGATGGTGATTTGGGATGATCTTTAGGTTAAACAATCTAATAGTCGAGTGGTTTCTTGGAGTGATGGATCCAAGTCATTACAAGTCGGATCGGAATTATTCGATATGGTTTTCATTCACGATCATCAAAACCAAAACACACCACAACATGATTCGAAACCAGGATCATTATCACAACCTAAACCCGATCTAACACCCAACACACAAGGTCTAACTTATTTATTTGTAAGACAAGGAGAATCACAAGTCTTAGAATCACAAACTTCCATCACAGGACAGATCAGTCTAAGACCGTATAGTTTAAATTCGATTACCCATCGAAACCTGGTAGCCAATCGATCGATGAACAAAACTTATTCACAAAGACAAACTCAAAGTGTGGTGGTCACAGTGGATCCAGAAATGGAAAAACTTGGAAAAGAATTAGAAGAATCTAAACAGTTTAAAAAGAATAAGAAAGAAGAAAGTAAACGGAATCGAAACCAATCGAATTCTAATGATCAAACCGATACGTTTGGTAAAAGTCGAACCAATCGATTTAATGCTCCTGTTTTATCTGAAGAAGCTGATGAAGAAATTGAAGAAGAAGAACCGGAAGATGAGTATGAAGAAGAGGAAGAAGAAGAAGAAGAAGAGATTGTTGAAGATGAATCACCAAGTAAATCGGTTAGAAATAGGTTAACTGACCTTGAATTGGCTGATCAAAGATTAGAACAATCTTCAAAGAAGAAAAGAACCGAGAGAGATGATGATAGAAGAGGTGAGGAAGTTGAAGAGAAGAGAAGTAAGAAGAAATTATTGATCATTGCTTCGGATGATGAAGATTGATGATCATCATCAAAGGTAATCCAACGCGACGTCTTCATTTCTGTTCATACCCTAGAGAAATCAAATGCTTTTGCATTCAACATGTCTTAATTGTATGGTTTCTGGACTTTGAAAAATTTAATACTGTAATAATATTTTTCTCTGTGAAACTCTAGACTGTTTGCAACCTGTTGATCGTGATAATAGAATGTGTTTTTGGGATCTTTTCACTTTGATGTCATCAACATGGAAAACTTATGAATTATCTACTTCATTGAAAGAGACAGATATATAGATATATGGATTTGATTTGTCCTTCAGACTCCTTGATCAAGAGTGTGATCATTGTGTGAATCTGATTCGTATACCATTGAGATGATGATCTTGCAGTGCTGTCAGTGTCCCATTTACAAGTTATGACTTTAAGCAAATCACATCAACCTGGAAAAGAAAATTCTTGGAAGTTTAATGAGATGCCATAACTGTGAAAGACCAGACTTTTGAAAGACAAAAGTCTCTCAGTTCTCTTAGTTTTATCTGGAAAAAAATGAGGCCAAAAGACCAATACTAAAGTGCTGAAATCCTCTGTATCTGAGAGAAATGCATCAGACTTGAAGAGTTGTCAGTGTATCACATAGCCTCTTGAAGCTTCAATTCCATTTCATAAAAATCTTTGCTGGCTGTAGATACAGACAAATCTTATAAGGATGTAAACCACTCTCTACTCAGGTTTTATAGGTCAAAAGATTGTGATATGTTCTAAGATTATCTGATGGGGATGATAGCTCAATTCATCATCTTACTCTAGACTGTCTCTGGTATTTGAAAACAGATCACCATTGCCAATTAAAGTAGGATGAGTAACATGCAAAATTCACACAGGTCAATCTGTTCTGGTGACCCATGGGATGACCAAAGGTCTATTCCCATCAAAGGTTTTGAACTGCAAGGGAAAAAGCTATAATTCTTAAGTTCCTCTTCATTGGTCCCTTGAAGGAAGGGGGATAAATTGCTTTTATTTTGTTAAGTGACCTATCCTGTAGGCAGGCCTTGGGCTCCAGTACCCCTTCAGAATTGAAGTGTTGAGGTTCAATTACAGCAGAATTAGGAATGGTCACCGTGTCAATATTTGTGTAGCATGTTGACGTGCACACACAGAGAGTTCTGAAACAGATCTCAAAGTCTTTTGGTCAGATTTAGACTGAAATTTTTGTTGAGCGCCCTTTATGAACAGTGGTTTATTCATAGGATTTTCAGAATCATTTGTCATCAGCTGGGGTCAACTGACTTTCAACGTCCCAGTTGATAAGGGGAAGATGCACCTGTTGTGGCACCTGTGTGATGGGTCTTTACAGGGTCTAAAGAAAGTCTTTTGTGTGTGCACGTTGGCGTGCTACAAGGATATTTACATGGTGGGTGGCCTTCCCATGGATCACTGCAAGGGCTTGGTCGGGTTTTTGATGGTCTAACCACAGCAGTTGTACACCTGTTGTCCATGTTAAATTGATGGCAGCATTCCTTTCTCTGATGGTAGAGGGGTCTAGAGCTTTGAATGGAATCAAGGTGAGGGTGATGAGGTGATCAATTGGCAAGATAGCTGATGGTCTCCAAGAAACCCTTTGGCAAGTTGTTTCAAATGTTTCAAGCAAGCATGCTGGAGACATTGTTACCTTACAGTGCCTGCTACTGGTACTAGCTCTATGGGGAAATTTGGTATTCACAGTGCCACAATCAAAAGATATTGGAGAATAAAACTTTGATGTACTATAGCCAAAACCATCAGTGAAACATGTCTCATATGGACAACCATTCATTTAGAAAGTTCAAGCTGAGGGAAATCAAACACATACTCAGATATAGATTTTAAGAGAGTCTGATACATATTCTGTTCATGTTGGACATATATTGTTTCAATTCTGTGCAATCTGATAACTTGTTCTGAATTGGATTTCAATTTCTGGTCTCTTTTGGGAGCTTCTCATAAAAATTATCCATATTTTTTTCAAGTTTTTTTTTTGCTTTCTTTTGATCAAGCTCACAGTCAGATTATTGGAGAGTGAAAAAACAGCAGCTGAAGTCCTTGAGGTTGGTAGGCCTCCCTATTGACATACTTCTATCATTTGCCACTTCTTCTTGAAAGCATCACCCTATAAATTTTTCTCAATATGCTGTGCATGAGAACTAGTCACAAATCAACTTACAATCCACTGTTCTTTCATTTTATCACCAATGATCTTGAAAACTCTCCAGAATCATCCAGCGCCAATATTTGTTTAAGAAGAAATCATTGACATATTCTTCTCAGATTGCATTGTAAGTAAATTCATCCCTCTTAGACTTTATCACTTAAACTTTGTCTTCATTGACATTCATCAGATGTAAAGTTTGTTGAATCTTCTTCTTCACCCTCATACCCCTAGATTTATCATCAGACTTCAGGATCAGATTCCAGCAGATATTCATTGGTCTCAATCTCTTGATAGATCACCAAGTCTTTGGACGCTTTGTTAGCATTCCTGAAATTTCTCATTCTACAACCAGTAACACACTATATAGCCAAAAGGCCACAGAATCAACAAACACTGTGGTATTCCCTGTTACACATGAACAATTAGTGAACAGGATGAAGAATTCCAAACAGATCCAGGAAGAGGTAAAGAAACAGTATGGAAGTTCATCAACTATGAGCTCATCTCCACCAATCCCAGAAGTTGAACCACATCCTAGGAATTCAGGCCATTTTGCCCAAAAAGAGGTGGTGGTTCCAGTGTCACCACCCATTCAGAATTCTGTACCTAAAGGAGAAAACAAATCCATGGTACCAGGAGCTTCATTGCAACCAAATACCTTCCAAAGAACAAAAAAAAGAGATATGATGATTGCAGCATGCCTAATTTTCAGAGGAATGTTTCTGGGGTGGTGGTATCAAACTTGGGCACCAGACTTTTATCGACTTGTGTATGGAAATTCTCTAATCTGAATAGGTTTGTAGCCAAATACTGATAAGACTTTCATATATGTATGTAGCGGAAAAGTTAGAAGAATCGTGTGGCCTAGTAGACAGAGAGTAGAGAGAGCATCACAGACAGATTGAGGTAGAAGGTATACAGGCATCAAACTCCAACAAAGCCAATATATCAAGTACCATTAAGAGACTTGGACTTATATCATCTGTTGTTCATGAAGATTAAGGGAAATCACCTAGATCTCCATAGTCTCCTTTTATCAGGTCTTGCTTACATATACAGTCTCACAGAGGTGGTCCAGGGATCTACAAATGTGGATTTGTTGACCTCCAGAGGTGACGTTATTTATAAATAACTGTAGTGCTGAAATTGAATGTTTAAATGTGGAATGAGACATAAATCTCACATTTTGAGATGCAATTCAATATTCCCTGAAAATTTCTTGCAGCAAAATAGATGTTTGTACATATCACACCTGGGTTGAGTTTCATTCTTTGGATTGAATCTTTGGGAGTTTTGATTTTCAAAAATCTTTGTGCAGAACTTCTGCCACAAGATCTGCAACTTTAAGCTTTAGAGGGAGCGTCCTGCAGACATGTTGCATTTGGCTTGGCCATCTGAATAGGTATGCTACTGAGCTGTGTGGGTGGTGAGGATGTGATGATCAAAGTGAAGGAGCCAGTCAAAAGCGCTGAGCCTGTACTTTCCAAATTTTAAAAAAACCGGCACATTTTAGCATCAAGCTTGGTATCAAGTGCTCCAATTTTTACAATTTTAGGTGGTGGCTTGAGTGGAATCAAACAGACGTCTGGAACGCTGTAGCTCGAGTTCCGACTTGCGATTCTGTGCCAGAGATTGGGCGGATTGTTTAGCTACATCAAGCTCACATTCATAGAGCATATTGACTCGGGTGTTCTGTTTGTGCTGAGCAAATGATGCAGCTCGATTGGCGCGACCCACATCACCGGTGATTGATATCACTTTGTGCATGAACGTGTCTGCCTTGGATGAAGCTGAATGCTGCACTTTCTTACCCTTGGGCGCAATAAAGTTTCCTTCTTTGACTTCCGAGTGGGCTCGACGGGAAGATTTGGTTGCAAACGCTTCGCGATAATCCTCCGCCAAGAATGATTGTTCCTTCTGCATCATACGGACCTCCTTATGAGCCATTCGGAGAGTCTGAGACCAACCAGTATTGGATTACGCGGATTGTATCCCTGAGAGTTGGTCAGAGCTGGGACAGTAGGGCTTTGTCAGTCAAAAAGATATGTTCAAGAAACTTGAAACTTCCTCTAGTTTGACTACTGCAATAATTCTTCGGAGCTCAGCATCGTGCTCCTCCGTTCCATTAGGCATATTACTCCAGTTCTCAGCTTCTGCAAGCCAGGTCTTTGATTGCGTATATCGAGACTGAAGAACTCGGTTATTTTCTTCATCAGACAGCACGCGAAAATATTGGCGAGTCCCTTCTTTGATTTGCGGTAAGGCATTTGTCTAAATTAGTGTATCATTCGATATGGTAGAAGAGAATCACAATGTCCTTCAAAAAATGGTGCATTGCTGGAAGAACTTGCCTTTTTGGCCGGTGTTCCCGAAGAGGCTCAGTTCCTCCAGAGGGCAATCAAGGATGGACACGTAGGTGGCTGCCATACCTATCAGAAACATTGGATCAGATGAGAATGAAACTGAACAGCAAATGGTTGATTTGACGTACTCTGCCGTCGATTGGTTCAAAACTTCCGCCATAATCAGAATCCATATGATGTGGGTCCATAGTCAGATAATGTAATGGAGTGTTTCCATCCTAGATAACTTGTCTTATAGCAGAAAGGATTTGAAGGATTGCGGTCAGCATCACGTATACACCGAGATACACCGCCTTCCAAGCCACTTGAAAGTTTCACCTAGGAAACAAATGGAAAGAATAGCCAACAGGAGTCCATCGGGCGCTTGATGCGTGTGGGGGGGAAGAAAGGACGAGGGGAATCCAGTTGCACTTGGGTTGTGGTGCTGAGATCAGTCAGGAGACACCCGAGAGCCGATGGTGAGTGGCCGGCCAGATATAGCCTACCCAGTCTACCCGTGGCCCACGAGCTAGCTTAACACAAACCCCACCAAAGCAGAGTCGTCCCCCGTTGGAGGAGGAAGGCCTTTGGTAAGTCAGAGTCAGACCCACGAGGGGACCCGGAGTGGGTTTCGAAAAGCCCACTGTGCGGAATCAACGCGTCTGCAAGGGTTCCAACCTATCGAATTGACCCGAAAATCCGTCAGATAGCAGTAGATCACCCGTTCTTGGTACAACTTGGTGGATCATAAGATAAAAAAATTGATCAGCATGGTGAACAAAGTGCATTAGAAAATGGCATATGAAGAAAAGCTGTGATATTCTAAAGATAACCAAGAACCTCAACAAAGCCATCATTTATTTCGAGCATCTTCGATAATCACCTCACCTTGGTCTGGCATCTTTCGAGTTTATTTACGTTGTTGCTACGATACCACAACGTAAACTAATTTCACATGTTACGAAAATATATATCTCGACCCAGTTATATCAAGCATATGTTGATGATGAATTCCATTCCAGCATCTCAATTCGCCTCAATGATTTGATCACTATTTACAATCTATTTCTTAGTCAGCTGCGAAGTTACATCATTTTCATCTTGAGCCTTTTAAATCTATGACATCTAGCCTTGAAAAACAATGTCAAAGTAGTAAATGTGGAAATGTGGCAGTCGACGGAGCTTTTGACCAATTTTATCAACAAGTTTTACTCATTTATAATACGAAACATTGCTACGTCTTTGAACACTTCACTGAGGCCTTTTTCACGATTCACATTTTTGTGCTTTTAAAAATCCTGATAAAGCAAAAGCTGAAGATGAACTCCTCAGCTTTCGAAGAAATCTTCTATATAATCCTTCACTATGTCCAGCTGCCCTTTACGCTTCATGATTGCTCACCACGCCTTTTCCAACACTTCTTCAAAAGCACGCCTCACGTTCTTAATTTCAACGATAAACCTCAAAAACACCCATGTATCATTCTACTTTCGTCTTGAAGAAGAAGCAGTATGATAAAATCACCAATTATGAACTTATTAAGATGATAGGAAAAGGTACAACATCAGAAGTCTGGCTTTGTAAAAATAAAACGACTCAAGAGACATCCGCAATCAAAGTAAGCATCTTCTTCTATCTTTGAATCCTTCAGTCTTACTTTTCGAGTCTAAGTTGATTTTTTTCTTAGATTATCACTAAATCTTATCTCCACGAAACTTTGGCTCATGAAGACTTATTGAACGAGATAAATATTCTAAAAAAGTTATCTAAACATCATTGGATAATTAATTTAAAAAGTCAATTCTCAAATCAGCATGCTTTTTTTCTTTCTTTAGACTATTTACCAGATGGAAACCTCTTACAAAAAATCCGATCAAAAGTCAGTCGATAAAAATCCAAGTATAATTTCTTCTCATTATAAAAGTTCAACATACTGATATTGGTTTTTATTTATAGACTTTTGATAAGAACTTGATAAGATTTTATGTCGCACAACTAGCAATTGTACTAGACTATTTAGAATATAAATCGATTTTACATGGTGATTTAAAACCAGAAAATATTTTAATAGGTAAAGATGGATATATAAAGCTAACAGATTTTGGTTTATCAAAAGATCTCAGCAACAAAAATCATAGAACAAATGGTTTGATAGGTACTTCATTTTATCTTGCACCTGAAATATTATTAGGTAATGATTACTCTTATTCTATTGATTGGTATTCACTTGGAATTATTATGTTTGAAATGCTAACTGGTGAACCTCCTTTTAAAGGTAAAAGTAAGTCAAATTCTTCTTTTCCTTTATCAACTTCTTTTGTCTACTTTGATGGTATAATAACTAATACTTTTTCATTGGTATAGATAATCACGACGTGTTTGGAATTTCTAAAGAAATCATTCATGGTAAAATTTCATATCCAAAAGAAATTACGTCTCAAGAAATCGATTTGATAAGTAAGTTAACAAATAAAAATTCAAGTACAAGATATTCTTCTTTATTTCAAGTTTCACATCATCCATGGTTTGATGGATTTGATTGGGTAGGCGTTATTTTGAACCTGGCAACATATCCTTATACTCGTGAAAGTATTTGGTTAAAGTAAAAAATATCAGTTTCACTCTTGATTCGCACATGCTTTTTTGTTATTGTTAAAATTTTAAATATCACGGAAATGGAATATAATGTAAGTTTAATCTGAACTTATGACATAAATATTAAAGATCTCAATATTTATCTTCAGAAACTTTGACAACAAAGATTAACTTGTTTCAAGTATGTAAATTGGTGTAAATTTTACATGCGACATAATTCTACTTGTTATTTAAACTTTTGAGATGATGACAGTCGAAAGAGTAAAAATTGCTAGCTACTCCAATGTTTTGTACAACAAAGCTCAACAAAGTAAAGCTGACAACATAATATAATATAAATAGCTTTGAAATACACCTCTGAACATTTAAAGGAAAAGGACTGGTACTAAGAGTGTGTTCACCTTGTGTGGTTTCCTAGGTACATGTGTTCTTTGATACATGTCTTAAGGTGATTTTTGTAGTTTTTTTGTTTTTTTGAGAGGAAGAGTGAAAGAAGACGGTAAACAGTGTTTGTATTTGTGGTCCTTAAGAACATCAGTGGTGGTATTAGTAGAATGAGATTCAAGGCTAAGCAGTCCTCTGTCAATTAAAAATAATTCCAGGTGAATGACACTTGATTGCCAGTTACATCTAGAAAGATTTGTGATGGCCTTTCTTCAACATAGTTCATTTAACCATTCCTTTTTTTATACCCATTTTGGGTGTGATTTGTTTTTTAAAAAACTTGACAGAACTTTTAAGCACAGCGACTGTTAGAAAAAAAAATGGACAAGGGCAATCAGGCTTTCTATGTGAAATGGTTTTGTTGTCTGAGAAGAAAGACAAAGGTGTTTTGGTCTTGGGATCCAAAGACTGTTTTAAGCTCATGTTCAAGGTCTGTAACAATTTGTTTGTGTGTGCACATCAACATGTCATCACAAACAGTGTTTGTATTCATGGTCCTTAAGAACTTCAGTGGTGGTGGTGGTACAGCCAACCCCCTTGTGTCTGATTTTTCCAATCCCACAAGGTCCTGCATCCCCTTGAAACCCATTTGATCTCCTCCACTTTGACATTCAAGCTTGCATGAAGTTCCTTGCCTCATTAAAGACAAAAAAGATCCTATTTCATACTTCAAAATTGTGCAGAAATGTCAGAGTTGCACTGAATCAAAGATGACCTGTTACATAAAGATTGCAAGAGGCTGTCACAAGCCAATCACTGCCAAATTCTGCAAAGCTAGCTTCCTTGTCTTCAACTGTACAACAAGTCAAGGGCCAAGATCTAATTGTGGAACACCAGCTTCCTATCAAATTTCACAATGAATTTAAGGCTACCCAAAGTGCAGAAGTGGAACGGTATTGTTTACAATAAACAATACAAGAAGCCTGTCAATCTCAGAAACAATTGATAGTTCTTTGATTGTGATCCTCTTGATTTCCAGAAAACTTCAAAAAACCAGGGTTTCCAGACTCAAAGCTTGTCCTAGAATGTTCAAGCTTGTCGTTTTGTTGGGCCTGTCACAGTCTTCTCAAAACCAATCACTTTGAGTCCAGCAGAATTTCATCTCAAATTCAACTCATTTTTGCTGTAAATCTCAAGACATGTTTGCACTCTATCAGTTGTCTTTGAGAGGATCATCATTTAATTCCCTACCAACCTGAAAATCTTCTTCCATTTGCTTCTTGAAATTTATAAAGCTCCAAAATACCCTGAGAAGGCACCACCTGGGAAGCAAATGCTGAGTTTTTCTCTTGCAAAAAGAAAAACTTTGAAGGTTTTGTAGGTCCAAAGTGCACAAGCTTTTAGGCACTTTGTGGCCAACTTGAACCTCCCTATTGTCAGTAGCTGATTCAAGATGATGCTTGCTCAACACAAAAAGAAATATCCCCAATCAAGAATCAGTTCCAGTCTTGCTATGTGTTGTAGAGCTTGAGGTTTAGTCTGATGAAAACCTGGTGTACATCTCTTTCCAGATGACAGGAAGCATAGCAAGTGTCATTGGTTTATTTCCCAAAACAACTTCTAATTTTTGCTTCTCATAAGTTGTGTCAAATGTGCTATTCTCAATATCTGCAATCCACACAGATTTACATAGAAGTAATATTTTGAAATTTTCAAATAGATCAAGTCAATTCTCCAGACTGAAGAGATAGAGCCAAGCACAAGGTGGACAAGTAAGTCATCCACCACACATACTTTTTGAAAAAATAATGTGCAAGATTAGTGCAAAAAATCTTGCACAGATCTTGCATGAATCTTGCACGTCGGTCTTGCACAGGTTTGAACACCATAATTATTGGGTGTGATTTGATTTTTAGAAAACTTGATGGAACTTTTAAGCACACCAGTTGTCAGAAAAAAATCTGAACAAGGGCAATCAGGCTTTCTATGTGAAATGACATCCAAAGACTGTTTTAAGCTTATGTTCAGTGTCTATAACAATTCATTTGTGTGTGCACATCAACATGTCATCACAAAATTTATGTGGTGCCACTGCCACACTTTCATAAAAAGGTCACTGCATTTTGACATTCGGACGTGACTGCCAGTGGCGGTCCCACCATCAAACCAGCCCGTGCGCCGGGGCGGTACGTAGACTTACTTGAGTCCATCATGATCAATCCAGACAAAAATTTGTCGACAATAGGAGCAGAAATGATGTTAGAAGACTTTTTGTGAAGATTGATGATCAACAAAGAATCAAACCAATCAGAATTCCCAAGCTTCCTGAAATCCGCACACGCATGCAGCATTGGTTGGAGGAATTTCTCAAGAAGTATTGAGATTATTGACTTAGCTTTCATCCAGGGTTCTAAAGGTTGTAAGCTCTGTTGATAGAAGTGAAAGTTGATTCGATTGGAAGAGTGAATGAACTCTAAACCCTGAAATGTTGATGTTTCTCTGAGGTTGAACGTGTTTTGTTCTCAGTGGGTTTATCTACATCTGCTTGAGTGATTTTTTGAAGGGTCCACGTGTGAGACTGAGTTGAATGGTTAAAAAGTGGTTCGATCATGAAACCGAACCTCGCATTTTTTTAGAATGATCCTTGGCAAGGATGATGTGTATTTTCTTCAGATTGCCAAGTGTGGTATGGTCAAATTAAGTTTGAGGTTGACTCTTCCGACCCCACCCGACTGAAACCCCAAACGATTAACACTTGGACAGATTTAGTACCCATACACCCACCCTTCAAACTTACAAAACCTTTTCTCTTGATTTCCTCTTTCCCTCAACTTCACCCTGAAATCAACCAGACTTTCACTTCATAACAAATCATAATCAACAATCCTTATACCCTTTTATAAATCAAATCAAATCAAACAGATATACCTTATCAACAATGTATTCTGCTCCAGAGGTTAGTGTCTTGATCTCATTCTCTTGAACCTCATACAACAGATCACTAAACTATTCCTTATTATTCATCTTTTCTTTCTTTAGAACAAAACCCAATTGGAATGGATTGCTGGTTTACAAATCCCACCTGTCCCTCAAGCTAACCTAAACCCTCAAAACTTACGAAAGGTAAAGAAAACCTGTTCTTCATTCATCTTTTTATATATTGTATTAACGTAGCCAATTGTATTCTTTATTTTTTGATCTTTTCTTCTTGTTTAGACTGCCATCATTGGTACTATTGGTCCTAACACTAATTCAGTTGAAATGATGAACAAACTTAGAGTTCAAGGTCTCAACATTGGTAAGATACTTTTCTCTTTTCCTTTGATCAAAAAACCAATTTCACTAATTAATGACTTTGAATTTCATTTAGTACGAATGAACTTTTCTCATGGATCTTACGAATACCATCAAAGTGTGATCGATAACGCAAGAGCAGCTGAAGCCGGTGAGATCATAAAATTCAATTCATCTTGGCGATCGAATAGCTTAACTGATTTACCAATCTCCTTTGATAGCTGCTCCTGGTCGTCCTCTTGCTATTGCTCTTGATACCAAAGGGCCAGAGATTAGAACTGGTTTAATGGTCAACGGAATTGATGTAAGTTTCACCATCGTCGAATTTCAACAATTCATCCATTCTGATCTATTTTTGCTTTGGATTTGACTTTTTCGTTTGTAGATCAAAATCAATGCTGGTCATCGAATGAAAATCACTGTTGATCCTGCTTATGCTGAAAAGTGTGATGCTGAATACATGTATGTTGATTATCATAACTTACCTAACATCATTGAGGTCAACAAACCCATCTACGTAGATGATGGAATCTTGAGTTTCAAGGTTTGTTGCTTTCTCATCATTCACCACTTTACTTATTGATACTGATATGCGAGGGTTTGATTTTTCAGGTAATTGGTAAAGATCCATCAGGACATGCCATTGATGTTGAAGCGATTAACAACGGAACCTTATCATCCAAGAAGGGTGTCAACTTACCCGGTACCGATGTCGATCTACCAGCCCTTTCACAAAAAGATAAAGATGATCTATTATTCGGAGTGAAGAATAATGTAGATATGATCTTTGCATCTTTCATTCGACGAGCTCAAGATGTGATTGATATCCGAACAACCTTGGGAGAAGCTGGTCGAAATATTAAAATCATTGTCAAGATTGAAAATTTACAAGGTTGTGCAAACTTTGATGAAATCTTGAGAGAAACTGATGGTGTCATGGTCGCTCGTGGTGATCTTGGAATCGAAATTCCGGCTAGTCAAGTCTTTATGGCTCAAAAGATGATGATCGCTAAGTGTAACTTGGCTGGAAAACCTTGTATCTGTGCTACTCAGATGCTCGAATCCATGACTGTTAGTAATCTTCTCTACACTCTTCTTATCAAGCCCACCCTGAATCAACTTGCTTTGTTAGTACAACCCTCGACCAACCCGTGCTGAAGTTTCCGATGTGGCCAACGCTGTCTTAGATGGAGCCGATTGTGTGATGCTTTCAGGAGAGACCGCCAAAGGAACATATCCGGAACTTGCGGTAGCGATGATGGCTGAGACTTGTTACTTGGCTGAATCTACAATCTCTTATTCACCTCTCTTCAACAACTTGAGATCTTTACAACCTAAACCTACTTCTACTACTGAGACAGTAGCCATGGCAGCAGTAGCCGCAAGCTTAGAACAAAGCGCCGGTGCTATCATTGTTATGTCAACCTCGTAAGTAAATTTAACTACAACCAACTCATCGCGAACTCGGGAGAAAGAGCTAACAAGAACGTTTTTTTTTTCGAAAATCGTGAAATCTTACAGTGGAAACACCGCCAGACTTGTATCAAAATACAGACCATCGTGCCCAATTATCACCATCACCAGATCAGCTCAAACAGCACGACAGATCCATTTACATCGAGGATGCTATCCATTTTATTATCAAGATGCTAGACCCACCAATGCAGAAGGATGGCAAGCTGATGTAGATAATCGAATTAAATACGGACTTTCAAAGGCCTTGGCACTTGGGATTGTTAAACCTGGTGATCAAATTGTTGCTATTCAAGGATGGAGATCTGGTTCTACTCATACTAACGTAAGTTTTTCAGTTTGTTTTGAAAGCCTTGGTCTTGATTTTGTTGGTTCGGGAACAGGGAAAAGTAAATGCTAATTGATTTGTTTTCGTTTTTTTTTCGGTTTTTAGACTATGAGAGTTGTTAGTGTACCAACTAGCTCTGCAGACTTTTTACCTTCACCAATCCTTTAAAAAAAGAATCATAATAGAAAAACTTTCTTGAATTAGTTGAAAAGGAAGAACAAGAAGTTTTATATTTCTTACTTGAGATCTCTGTCTTGTATGTTGTGAGTTGAATGCAGTTTCATAAACGTGTGTGATGATGAGAATTTGAATTGGAATGAAAAGATGTACATACATAGTAATCTTTTTTTTGAATGAGTAAAAGACAAAAGGGAAGAGGAAAACCTTTGTGGAGTTTAGCAAATTGGACAAGTTTGGAAGTTGGAGATGCTGGGATCATTTTTGGTAATGTGAGATGATGAAAGGAAAACTGTTGGATCTGAACAGAATTGGTTGGCTTGAAATTGAACATTTCTTGGATACTGCTTAGACCATGTCTGAGGAGAGCTTTCTAGGACCCCTGTGTCCTGTAAAGCCACCTTGAGATCCCTTGTGTACCTTGTACAGTTGTTTTCAAAAGGGTTGAAACACGTCCAAATAATTTTGGTGATGTGGTCTGTGCAAGCTGTGCATGTAGCCTGATTTCTGCAAGCCTAATACCACCAAAACCACCTGGTCCTTTGGTTGGATACCATGGCTAGAAGAAATCTCAATTCATTCTCACTAATCCCTAGTTCTAACCAAAGATTTGTGTTTCTTCTAACCATGACTCAACTCTTTTCCTTCCAGATGACCAATATGGAAGGCCTGATCACTTTTTTGGCCAGGCTGCTGTTGCACCACCAACCAACTACCTCCATCATCAGTTTCCAAATCAAAAATCCAACCGTTTCACCGCTTGCTTGTTGGCCAGACCTTCAACATCATGAACAAAAGACACTCACCCCCTCTGATGAGGTCCTCTCCAACCGCCAACCCATAAGCCCTTTTTTGTTTTATTTTGTTCTTGTTTTGGATTTGTGGTTTTCTTTTGGTTGGATTTCAGTTTGAGCTTACTTGATGCTGGTTGGCTTTTTCACCACACGTCATGGAGCTAGTGTGCCTGTGTGCTTGAGCTTCCAGTTGCACCAACACAAACTACCTGGTTGCTCAATGTTGTCTTACCAAGTAGGGCCATGACTCTGGTTCATTCTTATAGTTGGAATGACCTAGTTCCACAATATAATTGGGCCAATGTCAGACCGGATGTGCAATCTTTCAGCAACAATAGTCAAGAGTTCCTCCTTGAGTATTCCCGCCAGCCAGATTACAATGAGGTTCTACAGGCGACCCCAACAAATTTGCCAGGTAAATTGATTTTTCCTTTATTTTTCATTTGTCTGTTTCAGAGCAGTGAAACAGACAATTTCTGCTGCAGCGCTTCAGCTCCACCCCAAAAGCAAGAACAAGACCAACTCTGCTTTGTAAAGCAAGGTAAATGATGTGCAGACAACCCCCACAAGATATCAAGGTAAGTTTTTACCTCAATATTGGATCTTCTCATTCACTGATAAGGCTCACTTTTTGGTTGTCTTTAGTCTGTCTACAAAAAACCAGAGCTAAACCCAAGAACAAAAATGAGATCAATCTTGCTTTTTCCAGAAAGCTGTAAATTGGGCACAAGACCCCAACAATGTCTCAAGGTAGTCACTCCCATGTTCAACAACAATGATTTGTAAATTGAAAAGGAAGTGCTCACAAGGCTTCTTACTACAATATTAGCTATAGCGGTTTGGTTTTGCTTTTACACAACCAATGTGAAGTGTAAATGTTCTTATTTTTTTCATCCTTTCTCACTCTGAGTATTGACTATTGGTTTAACCCGGTGGCACAATGAAAAACAATTTACAATTCCCTTGTTCATTGCCCAATTGATGCGTCTACTGCCTTGACCTGAATCACCAACTCCCAATTACCAATGATATGGGTTGCGCCAATCAAGCTGAATCAATTGCTCAGCACTAACAGAATACCCAAGTCAATATGCTCTATGAATTCGAGCTCAATGTAGCTGGACAATTCACCCAATCTTTGGCACAACATCACAAGTCACAACTTGAGTTACAGTGTTCCAGATGTCTGTTTGATTTCACTCAAGCCACCACCTAAAATCAAAAAATTGGAACACTTGATACCCAGCTTGATGCTGAAATCTGCTGTTTTTTTAGAATTCAAAAGGTACAGGCTCAGTGCTTGTGACTGGCTCCTTCCCTTTGACCATCACTTCCTCACCACCCACAGAGCTCAGTTGCATGCCTATTCAAATGGCCAAGCCAAATGCAACATGTCTGCAGGACACTGCCTCTAGAGCTTAGACTTGCAGATCTTGCAGCAGAAGTCCTGCACAAAAAAGTTTAGAAATCAAAACCCCCAAATAGTCACTCCCAGGTGTGATACAAATATTCATTTTGCTGCAAGAAATCTCTAGGGAATGATATTGAGTTGCATCTCAAAATGTGAGATCTATGTCTCATTCCACATGTGAAAAACATTCAATTTCAGCACTACAGTTATTTATAGATAACTCTGGAGGTGAACAACTCCACATTTGCAGATCTTCTGTGAGATTGTATATCTAAGTAAGACCTGACAAAAGGACACTATGAAAATCTAGGTGATTTCCCTCAATTTCATGAATAACAGATGATATAAGTCCAAGTCTCTTAATGGTACTTGATATATTGGGTTTATTGGAGTTTGATGCTTGCATACTTTCTACCTCAACCTGTCTGTGATGCTCTCTCTGCTCTCCGTCTACTAGGCCACACAATTCTTCTTACTTTTTCACTATATATATAAATATATAGATCAAAGGCTTATCAGTATTTGGCTACAAACCTATTCAGATTAGAGAATTCCATACACAAGTCGATTAATGTCTGGTGCCCAAGTTTGATACAACTCCCGGGCCAGCCACCCCACCAACACTCCTCTGAAAATTTGGCATGATGCAATCATTAGATCTGTGGCAGTTGTTCTTTGAAATATATTTGGTTGCAATGAACTTCCTGGTGCCATGGATGTATTTTCTCCTTTGGGTACAGAATCCTGAATGGGTGGTGACACTGGAACCGCCACCTCTTTTTTGTCAAAGTGGCCCAACTTTCTAGGATGTGGTTCTGGCATTGGTGTAGATGAACTGAGAGTTGATGAACTTCCATACTGTTTCTTTACCTCTTCTTGGATGTGTTTAGAATTCTTTATCCTGTTCACTAATTGTTCATGTGTAACAGGGAATACCACGGTATTTTTTGATTCTGTGGCTTTTTGGCTATACAGTGTGTTACTTGTTGTAGAATGAGAAATTTCAGGAATGCTAACAAAGCGTCCAAAAACCTGGTGATCTATCAAGAGATTGAGACCAATGAATATCTGCTGGAATCTCATCCTGAAGTCTAATGACAAATCTAGAGGGGTTAGGGCGGAGAAGAAAATTCAACAGACTTCACATTCAATGAATGTCAATGAAGAAAAAGATCAAGTGATAAAAAGGGTTGAATTTACTTACAATCCTATCTGAGAAGAATATGTCAATTTTTTTTTCTTAAACAAATATAGGTGCTGGACAATCTTGGAGTTTTCAAGATAATTGGGACAAAATGAAAGAACAGTGGATTGTAAGTTGATCTGTGACTAGTTCTCATGCATGGCATATTGAGAAAAATTTATAGGGTGATGATTTAAAGAAGAAGTGGCAAATGATAGAAGAATGTCAATAGGGATGCCTACCAATCTCAAGGACTTCAGCTGCTGTTTTTTTACTATCCAATAATATAACTGTGAGCTTGATCAAAAGAAATCAAAAAAACTTGAAAAAACTATGGATAATTATTATGAGAAGCTTCAAGAAGAGATGAGAAATTGAACCCCAATTCAGAATACCTTCTTAGATTGCACAGAATTGAAACAACATATGCTCAACTAAATATGTACCAGACTCTCTCACAATCCATATCGGAGTTTGTGTTTGATTCAATTTCCCCTCAGTGTGAATTTTTTAACTAAATGGCTGTCCATATATTACGAGACATGTTTCACTGATGCTTTTGGCCATATTAGTCTATCAAAGTTTAATTCCCCAATACATTTTGATTGTGGCACTGTTAATATCAATTTTCCCCATAAGGCTAGTACTAGTAGCAGGAACTGTATGGTAATGATGTCTGCAGAATGCTTGCTTGAAACGTTTGAAACAACTTTTCAAAGGGTTTCTTGGAAACCATCAGCTATTTTGCCAAATGATCACCTCATCACCCTCACCTTGAATCCTTTCAAAAATTTAGACTCATCTACCATCAGAGACCAAGCCCATGCGGCAATCCCTGAAAAGGCCACATCTCCTAATTTACCGATCATTGAACCTCAACACTTTGTTTCTGAAAGGGTGCTGGCGCCCAAGGCCTGCCTATGGGATAATCCACTTGACAAAATAACATCAATTTATCCCCCTTCCTCCAAGCCCTTTGTCCAAATGCCCCAAACACTAGATTTATACTCCATTGGTCAGACAGTGTTTCTTTCTGACGAATCAGTGCTTACTGTTGCACAGGGATCTCCCCAGTGAGACGTGACACACCCAAAAACTGTCTTTCTGACAAATAATAAAAGTCAACATCTGTTGATATCATAACTCAGCTCTTATGATGTCAAACTGTGTCAAGTTATCTCATTGTTCAACACAAGCAATAGATGGTCAGTGACTAACTCCATTAGGGACTCAAATGTGTAAGTTGGGCTCAATCTAGTCACCTTGAGGTTCCTGAAGAAGGATGTTTCAGAATTCTCAGGCTTGAATCAAACTCCAAGGTGTGTGTCAGCCCTATGTACATATGTATGTACCCATTACCTTTAGTTTTGAAGAGCGCCTTAAGAAAAATGATCACAGGGAATATCATGTCAGAAACTCAAATTATGTCCAAAACACACAAGATCTGGGCAAAAACCTTGAACACCCACAGATGTGAGAGTTTTTGTTCAATCAATCAAATACTTGCAAGTTTTGAAAGCCAAATAATGTTTCTATAATGTTCATCAAGGTGCCAAAGGCATTGAAGTAATATGTTCTGAGCTATTCTAGGTTTCCTGCTGTGTACAGCTTTTGTTGTAAATTACTCATTCTTCAAGACACACAAATGATCCTTGGATGCAGATTATAGAGCCAAAATGAGGCTTTCATAATGTCAAAGCCTTACATGTGTTGGAGCAAAGTTGGCAATTTGATATGTCTTGCAAGTTCACTGTTTCAATGCCTGCCGGTTTTGAACCAAAATTGGCTTTCTGATATTGAGGATTTACAAACATCAAAAACCCATATCAAAAACCTGTGCAAACCCGTTTGAATTTCAAGATTTCTATGCAAAAACCCAAAATTCAAATGGGTTGGAACAGGTTTTTAATTTTTGTGTACCCTCAAAAATGTGCAAGATGATTGAAATGCACTATAGGATTCAATCATCATTTTTCATATTTTTCTGACCCCTTCCTGCTTGTGTATAATTTCCTATGCTTTCTTACTTTTCTAAACTCAGTGGTAATTTTGCAATCTGGTGTAATGTAACTCACTAGGCATCAGGCATTCAGCTGTCACATTGCCCACTGTAATAGTGAAGAGCGTGGGTGAATATGCTATATCATAGGGAGGCTTCCCATGTAGCCAAAATTGAAACAGGGCCTTTTGATCTACTGAAAAACACTCACCAACCAGACTTCCATACACCATATTTCCCTAATCCTGTATTAAGCTGAAACATCGATAATTTATCTGAGTTTTTGTGCAATGATATGGGTAAGCCAACCCACAACACAGCTTACAGTCTATTCTATTGTTTAATCAATCTTCATCTTTGAGTTTCTGGATCACCTTACACATTTGTTATGACCAACTTGTGTGATTCCTCAAAACTTGTTCCAGAAGTCAACATGATACAGTCAAACCTGTCTTAAGACATACCCCTTGGTCCAACCAATTTGGCATGCCTTATAGCAGGTTATGTCATATGGCATAATTGTATGCCTTTCAAATTATCTCTATAATCACATATTTTCATGTCATAAGACAGGTTTTTTCTGATAGCACAGCTTTTGAGTATGCCTAATTGCTCCATTTCATGATACTTGAATGGGAATGGGATCAAGGGCACACAAGATGGATCAAATAAAGTACACATAACATATGTATTTACACACTATGTACACTTTGTGGGGTATTTTATGCCTTAATACCATACTAATGTCCAAAAAAAAAGTATGCCATAAGAGCATCCGCAATTGTTGGGTTAAGTCGCGAGAATAGCTAAGTATTTAACTTACCGATCTCAAAATTTCCACAATGGTCAAATTTCAACCAATCGTTAGTTAGCTTTTTGACAAAAAATCAGTAGGCTGGGACAAAGTTATCCCAGCCTACCGACGCGGTAGCTAACTCCGTGCCCTCGAATTTTGAAAACACAACACCCACCACACTACACTTCCACACATCAAGTCACTCACCAACCCTACACAACTTCAACAATGTACCTTGATCCCAACTTGAAGCTTTGCTGACTCTTTGTCCATGACTCCCACTTCAAGTTTCACCTCAATTTCATTTTTCTTTTTGCATCAATCTCAATCAATTAGTTGCATGTTATCTTAGATGATAATAGAGTTGTTCAAAAAAACATGCTCATGATGGAATTGATTGAGTAATGGATGTGTGGGATCAAAATTAGAAGATGGTAATTGATCAAAAGGGAAAGATCAAGCTCACATTGATGGATGAAATACAAACACAGGAGCACTTGTAAAGAATCAATATGTGATGAAAAGTTATAAAAAGGGGCCTCTGATGAAAACAAAACAGTCAATCAGATGCGAAGTCAAACATTTTTGAGCACACAGACAATCAGAAAGGACCAATTGGGTTGGCTTCAAAAGTGAGGACAGCTTAGCTCCAAGCTAGAGCTGACGACTGTAGGCCCAGTTTTTAACTTGGAGTTAAAGACAGCCACTGTGGAATTTTGTGTCAGATTACTTAGCTCCGGCTAAAGATCTTTAACCTAAAGTTAACTAACTCCAAATTTAATGCAAACGGTTGCGGATGCTCTAAGGCATTAGACAGAGAAGGCATAATTTGGCCCTGACTATGCTTGTCCAGGCCAAAATTTATGCAATTTGGCAGTTTAAGCCAATATGTATACAGGTATGCCATACAACAGGTTTGACTGTACTTCCAATTGGGTGCTACTGTTGTTCCTGTGATCTGACATAAACCAGAACTAATCACTTGCAACACTTCAAATGATAAGCCTTCTCATAGAATAGATTGACATAAACTCCGAAAGAAAGCTGCCATTTTTGTCAGGTTTTGGTCTGGTGCAAATGAGTTGATATTTTCAAACAATTTGATGATTCTTATATTGTTGGTGTCCCAGTTGTATATGACATGTGCATTATCTAAAAAATTGTATCAATCTGAATGAAAATGTCTTCTTTCCTTTAATTTGACTGCTAGGAGTTTCATGTGGATTTAACTTTACTTCAAAAACCAATGATATCATCATAAGATTTTTTTAACACAATTGAAGGGAGAAAATATCCACAGAACACACTTCAATCCATCTTGGATTTTTCCATGTTGTGTTCTTCCTTCTGAATCTTTTACTCTTCCATCTTATCTTCCTCAGAAGGGTCTGAGTTGACTGTTTCACGTTTTCATGGGATCCAAAAAAGGGCGTCATTTTCAGGCTTGACGGGTCCCGCAGCGCGATTGGCTTGTGGAGCCTGATCTCGCAGTATCTTTGCAACAGCTCACATCGGATCCATGGGACTCGAGGTCCTTATCACTTTAACTTCATCATTGCTTTATCTTTCTTAAACAGTCTGCAGTCGTCTCCAAGTGGTTTCACTTCTAGAAAACCTTGCAAAGCCGAGGGCTTTCAGACTCGGAACAGCACCTGTAGATCCACCAGTTTCTCGGCTTGTCGAACCTCTCGCAGTTTTGAGGCAGATCACATATACAGTGAAGATCCATCTTGAATCCAGCTCGTCTTATTTCAAGATGATTTTACATCTATAAGATTCGTCGCCAGAAGAAAAGATAATTCATTTCCAGGCAACTTAACGATCTTTATGCATTTATCGTTTATTCGGATCCACATTTTTCTGCTTCCATTTTGTCATTCTTTTATAAGATGCGGGCCTATCTCTGAGAAAAATTTACCAGGTTTGTCTTCCATTCTTGACCCGAATTGAGGATGATTGACGCCAAGATGTCCAGTTGATATGAATTCTTTCTGATCAGATCCTGGGACTACTTGGGGTTTTGCCAAAACCTGTTCAGAGTTGGGGTCAGACCGTCAATCCATAAAGAGCCTTGCTCCAACAACAATTAAGCTTCACGACCTTCGGAAGTCGGCCGCACCACATCCGACACTGAAAGAAAACGGATTCACTTGGGTCACTCGGCCTGTAGAATATCTTTGCTACCTCAAACCATTTTCCAATGATTACATGAACATGTTGCTAGATGATTCTGTCAGTCTGGTGAAAGAGCTGTAAGAAAATTTCAAAGCAAAATGTTTCCTAATACACAGTTAAACCGGTGACTTACTAGCTCTGGTCATCTAATCAGGACTGGGGCAAGCATGGCGATCTGCTACTCATATGGACATAGAGGTGCTCCAGGTCAACACACCTTTGAGCCCTATCCACTCATCCACTCTGATTTGTCACCGGAAGGGGCAAAGTACGTGAGAAAGTACCTTCAGAATCGTTATCATGGGTCATCTGATGACAATGAGAATGAGATTGGTCAAGCCATCAAGGATGGAAAGCGTCTTGTCGTGTTCAACGTTTGGAGACCTGTTAAGATCGTGGAAGACAATCCTCTTGCTATTTGTTATTGGGATTCAATCAAGGAAGGAGATACATCAGAATTCGTACTCGAGCCTACAAGCCGTGCGAACGCAATCCAGACATGGAATTTCAAGGATCATCAAAAATGGGCATACTTGTCAAACCAGAAACCGGAAGAGGCATTTGTCTTCATGCAGCATGACAGTAAGGGAAAGGGAGGACATGGAGTGAATGTGCCACATGCTTCTGTTGTCCTGCAAGGCCAAGAAGGCAAACCATCCACCCGCCAAAGCTATGAATTCAGGATTGCAGTCATCATGGATGATGAACCAGGACTCTTCCACAAACTTCTTTTGTCATTTTCAAAAATTTGCTCTTTGAAAGACCAAGACTAGAAGGGACAATGTTTGACCGTCTTCTCATGTAACCAAACTTTTTGAACTCTCTACGTATGAAAGTGTCCAAGGATAATTCTATTGTTCCCCATTGTCACTGCATCTCTTGTCTCTACATATGGTCATTGTGTGACTTTCCATGAGTTCATTGATGCTTACACTCTGAAGTAGCTTCTCTTCGATTGAAATAATTATTTGCCATGATGTGACTTTCTTGTGACATATGCGTTTCTTATTACACGTTGTGATGACTATTTAGATGCATGAAAATATCTCACCTACTTTTGGTATTGATTTTCTAAGTTCCTTTGAGAATAGAAACAGCCTTTTGGGAGAAGAAGTGTAAACCCATGAAGTTTGGATGCGGGGCTTATGGTCAGAAAGCTTTAATCAAAGCATCAACATATGCACAGCTCATTTCTCGCGAGCATGTAGCAATGCAGAAAATGGAAGTTTGAGCCTGCGAATTTCAAGTCCAGAGTTGGATCATCTTGAAGGGTACTTTGTGCTGTGTATCTCTACGAGCGACGGGGGGCTTTTGAAAAAAAATCTATTGAAATCAACTCAAATTAATAATCACTTATGATCATCAACTGATGGAGATCAGTTTTTGATGACAAAACTAGATTGAAGTTTCATGGGATGGTGATAGTTGAGATTTAGTATTGACAGGATAGCTAGAAAGCAAGGATCCATGGTTGTGCAATGTGATGAAAATCACCAGCTTCATCATTTGAGCAATTAATTTGATTTAGAATACTTTGAATTCCTGATCTTGGTCATCAAGAGGCTGTAAGACCTTTGGTCATTACTTAAACACCAAGTACAAACACTTAATACAAAACTACTTAGACCTAAATTAGATTCATATATATTTGTTTTTTCACATCTCATCTCGAATGGTTCCTTAGAGATATCGGGACTAATCATCCGCCCTCTATCCTTCGGAACCAGGTATGAGAACAGTTTTCTTTCATTCTTTATTTCTTTCTATCTTTTATCATCTTATTGTAGTCGAGAGATATCGGGACTAATCATCCGCCCTCTATCCTTCGGAACCAGCTGGTTTCTCGTAGGCTTTAGTAATTAAAGATTAGATCTCTTGGGTTCTAGAAAACCCTACCGCTGTGCCTCACAGCGTCCCGTCCGAAGTATCCAGTGAAGGTTCTCATCGAACCTTACACTTTTTTTTTCTCAAACCCACACTGAGACTAAAATCGATCGACTCCTTCAAACTTAAATCATTTCATTCGAAACTTAATTTTTTTTCAATTCACTTAAACTTTCTGATACTTCAATTACAAATGCGCCACTCCGATCGTACTGAACTTATCATACATCGTTGACGCTAAATCTTACCACTACCCCACACCTCGATTGATCGGCGTGCATGAATACGCGACGATCAAATCAAGCTCTTCAACCCACTCAGCCAGGCCCGCCTCAACCACTGCCAGACCCAGAAGCTATAATCCGAGCAAATAATCGCCAGAAAAAACTCTCTAGACCTAATATCGCCAGACAAGTCGCTCCTCTAGACGCACCGCCAGCTACACCATCACGAAGTCGAACAGACTTCGCACCGCAAGCTACGCCAGTACAGGCTCGTATTGAATCGACCACGCTACCGTCTCTGCCGGAATCCGACGAGTCGTCTCCACTATCATCTTTACCTCCATCTCCTACACGCCAGACAACATCTAATACTCTGTTCCCCAGAATGACCGACAAACAACCGGCTGCCGACACCTCGGGTTCGGACCTCATGAAGGCCATTGCCGAATCTCAGATCGCTAGTAATCGACGCATGGAGAAGTTTGAGGACCTCATGATGAAACTTCTCGTTTCAAAGGAGAACGAATCGAATCAGAGTACTTCGACACCTGCAGAGTCCAAGCCAGATGGTCAGATCGATCTCACGAAATTCCGCACCTCAGATGGACCGATCTATAAAGGTCCTTACCGTGAGACGGAAGCATTCCTCACGTGGTACTCTTCTTTAAAAACCTTTTACCGCACTAAAGGTGTCATACTAGATAAAGATCGAATCACTCTAGTCGGCAATTTTTTAGAAGAGCCGAATGCTCATGCCTTCTACGAAGGCGGTTTTGAGAAATTTATCAAAGGTAGCTGGAAAGACTTTCTCAATCAGCTCTTCGCCTCTTGTCTACCGGGTGATTGGAAAGATCGATTGTATGAAAAGGCCCAACACCTTAAAATGTCGCCATACGAAGACTTCATAACTTATAGTACTCGTGCCCGGGGAATTCAAATCCTCATCAACTTCCACACAATCGCTCTGGATGATCACCAATTAGCGAAGTATGTAGAGTATGGCATGATAGATGAACTGAAGGCTGGAGTTGTATTGTGGGGTTTCTCTAAGTATACCAAAGACTTCACTTACCACGATTTCGAAAATCACTGCGAAACTCTCTACAACTCCTTAGTCGCATCTCACGCCATCACGAAGAAAACGCGAACGCCGAGCTTTCCTGCGACAATTCAGAACCGGTCTCGTTTCACTACCACCAGTGCTCCTCAGCGACTATCTGATGAAGAATTCACTTGGAAGATTCATTCTTATCGTGATAGTATAGGACAGTGCCATTTCTGCAAAGGCTTCTGCGGCAGTGAACATCGCGCATGCAAGGGACCGTATGTCAAAGAGAAAGTTTTTTTTCCGCCAGGGTACGTCGCACCACCTAAGCCGGCGAACTACGTACCTCCACGAGCAAAGTCATCGCCTCCAGCCGGGTACAATCAAGCTGGACGAGCTACTCAAAGACCTGCTGGACGACCAACGCCTTCTTATGCGAAGGTCGCCGCCGCTAGTGAATTCCCAGACCTGGATGAAGCGTCGGTAGCGGCGTTGCAAGCTCTAGACGAAGAACTCGACCTAGCTGAAGCTGAAGGGTACGTCGCCCCTCCCAAACCTCCCCGAGTGATTCTTGAATTCAATCATAACGGCAAGAAGCTCCGAGCATTGGCTGATCCCGGCGCTGAAATCAATCTCCTTACAGATCAGGCGGCCGAGCGGCTTAATCTTCGACGCCGGAAGCTTGTACGACCAACACAACTCAGTCTTGCAGTCAATACCGACTCACCAGCTCCAACATTAACACATTTCACGACAATAAGCTTATCAGACCCTAATTCGGGGAAGTCATTCGATAGGGTGTATTGCAAGTTGGGAGATGTTGGGGGAGACTTTGATATGATCCTCGGGACACCTTTCTTTCATCTTTTTCAATTATCTGTTTCAATTAATCAGCGTGCTGTGTTTTGTGAGCGTACGGGGGTTAAACTTTATGATTATCGTGTGATGGAAGAGCTTAATGAAAAAGTCGCTAAGGCGCTAATTCCTCGTCTCACTGAGCCATCGAGAGAGTGCAGTGCCACCTGGGAGAGCCGGGTTTCGGAGAAAGAACGAATGACATCATTGAGTGACTATGAACAATCTGAGCTGGAATTATTTGAACAGTTTCAAGACCTTTTTCCAACGGACATACCAGCGGTGTCTGATGAAGCAGAAGAGGAGGGATTATTTGTTGATGGTTCCTTTCCTGAGAAACTGCAGAATGAAAGCTCAAGGATTCGTCACAAGATAGTATTGAAAGATCCAGGAGCAGTAATCAATGAAAAACAGTATAATTACCCACCAAAACACATGAATGCGTGGAAAAAGCTTGTGGATCAACACCTTGCAGCAGGACGAATTCGACGGTCAACTAGCCAGTATGCCTCTCCGAGCTTGATCATTCCGAAGAAGGACCCTTCCGAACTTCCGAGATGGGTATGTGACTACCGCGTCTTGAATAGCCTGACCGTGAGGGACCGTGCGCCGTTACCCAACGTGGACAGGTTGGTCAGACTTGTAGCAACTGGAAAAATTTTCTCGATTATTGATCTCACCAACGCATTTTTTCAAACACGAATGAGAAGTGAAGATATTCCCTTGACGGCAGTCCACACGCCCTGGGGATTGTATGAATGGTGCGTTATGCCGATGGGTCTTACAAACGCACCAAGCACACATCAAGGTCGACTTGAAGAAGCCCTAGGAGACTATCTCAACTCCATCTGTGTCGTATACTTGGACGACATAGTAGTTTTCTCCAACTCACCCGAGGAGCATGCTTTACATACCCGACAAGTTCTTCAACGTCTAAGAGAAGCAAATCTATATTGCAGCAAGAAGAAAACTAAGCTGTTCAGGACCGAAATTAAGTTCCTAGGACATTGGATCTCAGGTGAAGGTATTCGAGCAGACAATGAAAAGATAGAGCAGGTTTTGAATTGGAAAACTCCTAAATCAGCAAAAGGGATCAAGAAGTTTCTTGGGACCGTACAATGGATGAAAAAATTCATATGGGGACTCGAGAAACACGTCAATAAACTAACACCTCTTACAAGCACAAAATTAGACCCGAAAAAATTCAAATGGGGTAAGGCAGAAGATGATGCTTTCAACAATATTAAACAACTCATGACATCGTTGCCTCACTTAAAAAATATTGATTTTGATTCTGAAGATCCTTTATGGCTCTTTACGGATGCGAGTGGTGCTGGGTTAGGAGCGGCATTGTTTCAGGGTAAAGAATGGAAATGGGCATCACCGGTAGCTTATGAATCAAGGCAAATGACTCCTGCAGAGAGGAACTATCCGGTACACGAACAAGAGCTGCTCGCGGTCATTCATGCGTTACATAAATGGAGAATGCTACTTTTAGGTATGAAAATCAATGTCATGAGCGATCATCACTCATTGACTTACCTTCTCAAGCAACGGAATCTCAGCAGGCGTCAGGCTAGGTGGATAGAAACATTGGCAGACTTTGATGTTGAATTTAAGTACGTAAAAGGGGAAGATAACTCAGTTGCAGACGCATTATCGCGGAAAGATGTTGAAGACGAAGGCATAGAGCAGGTGGGTG